GATAAATTCAAGCAGCTGTGGAAAGTCACCATGTTGTTTTTAGATAAAACTGTGCAAATGTTCCAAATCACCCACATTTTAACATTGATCAAGGTTATCATCCACTCAGTTTAAAGATATCTACCTCCTTGGTTCCAAAATGTAAGGAAATGAGACAAGAACATCCATACAGTGTTCAATACTTTTGTGTCTTCTTACAGAGTATGGCAATTAGATGATCACAGGCTAAACCAATTTGCAAAGAGTGACAAATTTTACAATTAGAAAGGCTTTTGCCAGGATTTCAGAGATGAGTATTTAGGTAATATGGTACAGAGCGCTTTATAAATACACTTTACCTGCTCACTTGCAAACTGTCACATTGAAAACTAAAATGTCTTTCAAAAATTGGTTTCCCTTGATTTGTTTCATATGCTTCAAATAATTTTATTAGGGCTTTATGTGGCAGAAAAAAAAACAAAGCAGTTGTGGAGTGTAAGAGTGATGCAGTGTTTCCATGTATCCGTATTCAGTCCACCTGAATTAATGGCATATAGATCTATTATTTGCTGCAGTTACAGTAGCTGGTTTTTGGAGTCGACGTCAACCACCTCTACTTTTTGTCTGTTCTTTGGAAAAATAGCTAAAATTAAATCAGTTTTGCTGGAGAGGTTCTGTGAATATAAATTCTTGCGTGTTACCACTCATAAGGATTTACATCTGGAATATAACTAGACCGTTCTTACTCATTAAATATGTTTTAATTCCAGCCATTCTGTTGTAGCTATAGTTGCATGTTTAGGGTTGTTTTACTGGAAGCTGAACCTCACTAGAGTGAAGTTGGTCTCTAACAGGTTTTGATTAAATATTTCCCTTTTTGGAGCTCCATCACTTTAGTCCAACATTGGTCTCCACTGTAGAAAACCATCTTAAAAGCAGGGGTCATTTCTCATTGAATGCTAGTGAAGCTTAACTCCTGTGTAATTTTCGTAAAAATTATTGATAAAATATGCATTGTCAAACTTCATAAATGCGATCATTAAACTGCATTAAATATGAGCTAAAACGTGCCTACTTTCATGAGTATGTTGGCAATTAATCAGCTGTTTATTTGACCTCCCCTCTGCTCTACAGCAGCAGGATGCTGCTGGTCAGCCTCTATGAGAAATCCCTGTTGAGGTTTGAGCAAGAAAGTAGAGCCCTGATTGGATAACACGACAAAGTATGTCACTTCCAGGGAGGCAACACCTCTTAGGGGTCTACGGAGCAAATACCTAAAATGCACAATTTAATCTCAATTCTTTGAGCCCTCACATGTTTATTCACCCCTCAAATGCACTTACTATTGTTTAAAAAAAAAATCTACTTCCTTTTCTCATCATGCACTAGAAATTACAGTAATATGAATCTCTTCTTCTATAAATATTGTGTATATATATTTTCCTGTATCTTAAGTGTATAAATCTTTTTCCAATAAAAAAAAGAAAAGGAAAAAAAAGGGTCTATGGAGTAGGCGTGGGTTGTGAAGGTGGCTGCTTAATGCATACTTAAGGATTTTTGACTAACAGTGGCCAGAAAGCAAGGAGGTTTTCTTCATTAGTCGAGAAGGAAAAATGATCATTAAGTCATCTTGTGCTGAACTCTGGTTGTGGTTTCTGGAGTTTATTTCCGAGCGCTTCACAAACGGCTATTTTCCCTGATGGGTTTTATGTGTCTCAACATTTGTTAATGCAATATGTGGCATTTGGATTTGATTAACACCACTAAGTCTCCCCTGTTTCAGAGAGAAGCGGCTGCCATTGCTACACGGCACTATCCTGCCACCACTGAACCTAACAGAAATGCAGACGGGTGAGGGCAAAAGAGAGGGCTGGTTTTTATTTATGAGGTCCAGAGTAAAGAAGTACTGAAAAACTAAATGCATATCATTTTTGTTTGATTGTAAGCCTTTTAATTTTTTTATGCTACTTAATGTTGATGAAGTATGAAATGTGAGGAGAAATGTTAATACTTTAAGGCAACTCAAAGTTTCCATAAAGCTATACCTGGCAATGCTCTTGGATGCTAGTTTTCTTTCCATAGCCTGTTCAGTAGGGGTTGGTACTGAAGGTGGTAGCCATGAGGGTTGATTAGATCTGATCTGTTGGACTGTGACCTCTCAGGATGAGTAAACCCACCACTGTGAATTCTGCTGGTGATGTTCCATAGCAGGATGCAGTAAAGCTTGATTAACATTGGACATCAGCCAACTTTGTGGTTCAAATTGATGGAAGTCTGACTGATGGATTAGTAAACAGATTTTTCATGTTGCAGCTTCATTATAAAACTTAAAAAAAAAAGACGTCATGGAAATGGCTGTGAAAATTTTAAGCAGCAAAATTATCAAATTCTATTGGTTAAACTCGATTACTTATGCAAAAGAAAGAAGCTTGGAAACAAGTGCTTCTTCAGAATACGCCTCTATTTACCCATGTTGATTAATCTAATTTTCATTTTTCTTTTCCTGTAAGAGGATGTTTGTTCTGTTGTGAGCAATCATGTTGAGTAGGTATGGTGCTGAATTAGGGAGATGGATGGATTTGTTTCTATAATTTTTATGTCTCCTGAAGCCCTCCTGTAACATTACAGCTTTCAAGAAATGGTGAACTATCAGGGCAAATACAGACATGTGGACATCTTTGAAAATAAATGGGTGGATGTGCAATACTGTAGTTTTTTGTTTTAAAGCAGCTAATATCCTCCTGAAAAGATGGAAAACTTTACATGTAAACAACAAAAGAAAGGCTGCTGCCTTGACAGCTGCATCTGCACAGGATGTACATTTTATTATTATTTTTTTAAGTGCATCTAAGGTCTGTGGTTGAAGGCTGGGTTAAGGCAAATCAGTTATGCCCTCTAACAACTATAAGATTGAGTGATTAAATCTAATATGTGTTCAGGCTGTGGTCCGGATCCTTTGATTTATCTTCTTTTCGTCAGTTGTGTACTATCTTTGCATTAATATTTTCCAGCAGCTCTGAAGCTCAGAAAACTTACTATGGTGTTGTTTTAAGATTTCTTATCTTAATGATGGCACATTTTATTTCCCAAGTTCAAGCAGGGATATCTTTCAACTAAGATATCATGAGGCTGAATGGTATTTTACCACAAAACAGGCTTTAATAGGAAGGACACCACACTTGCACTCAGTTTTGACATTTTGACCGCTATCGAGGAGTCTGTCCATTCTGTCAGCTCGCACTCCTTTAGTTGCATTAAATCGATAGGCTTTTTGTGGGCATAAATGGAATCGGATGATTTACCGGTAGCTTATTTATCCTGAATGGTGAACAGATTTGTTTTTTTTTTTTTTGTTTGTTTTCTTGAATTGTAATGGCTTGCCACTCTCATTTTTGCCATTTGGAGTTTGTGATATTAGTTCAGATTCTTCTGGCTGGGCATCTTCTAAATAGTTCCTTATTGTTTTTGAGCACATTTTGTCTTTACTTTCTTTAGCCTATATTTCTGTATTGTTGTCCAGGTTCTCTTAATTTCATTTTATCCTGTTTGTGAACATTCTAGTCCTCAAATAAGTTATGTGTCCCTTGTCCTTAAGGTGCAGTGTTCACATTTTGGACAAAGAAGACAGTTGGTTTGAAAGGGGTGTGAAGGAAGCTATTGATGGTAAGAAAGAAAAACCAACCTTAAACAGAGGGGGTGGAGTCAGGTTTCAGCGTCCAAAAACCTACAATGCAGTGATATAGTAGATTCCTTCCCGCTATCATTTCAACCCCTCCACCGCTGTTTCCTTGTGTTCCAGTTTCTATTATTTAATTACTTTCTCTAAACGTGCCATGCTGCTTCCAAATGTTGTCCTACACTGACCAGGTCCCCTGGCCATGACAGAAACTTGTAAATGTACTACACCACAGCTATTAGTGTTGTTGTTGTTGCTAAAAGCTCATTTTTAACATGCGTGGCTTTACTGAGTGGTCATGGTGACTTCTCAGGGCTCAGGATTTAGATGGAGGACTTGGCACTAGCAGAACATTTAGCCAGTTTCCCATGTAATAATGTGTGCTGCTGGATACACACATTTATTGTCTCACAGTTGTGGCACCAGATATAGCAATATTAATTTCCAAAGAGTGTTTCAGTACATAAAAACAAATGGCCTACATGCATTTCTTTAGTTTTGTGCAATTTATGTTGTAATGTTTCTTTGATTTCTGAATACCTTTTTTCTTAAAACGGAGCAGTCAAGTGTTTATATGTAAAATGAGAAAAGGATTTAGCTTGATGCCACATTAGTCAAAGGTCGTTTTGCAGGACAAAAATCCCTCTGGTTGCGTGTTTGTATTAGTGGTTTGGTCAGTCAGCGAGACAGAAACGCACCAACCAGCACCGTCCTGCCCAAAGAACACATAGGGAAAATAAATCAGACATGCTCAGGGATTTTATTTTATTTTTTTTAGAAAGCCATCTACTATGACAGCTACTGACTTACCTCTGATTCCTGTGTGAAATTAGTTTGTATGACAGTAGGTGTCCAGTTATTGCTGGACTGGAATCTGCTCCAGTTCTGCAAGATGTGATATTGTTAAAGCAAAAAAATTATTCAGTTTTGATATCTGGCCATTTGGATTTCAAGATGTCACACTTGATAAGTAAGTCATGTACCATTCTTTTAGTATTATAGTCAGTGCCAGGATGTGTATCTCTAGCTGTTCATTTGACTTGAGGGAAGCTAATTCAAAAATATGGATCATAATTTGAGAATCAATGTAACCTGGCAGAAATGGAAAATGCATGAAGCAGCATGCAGGGTTGTATGAGGTCTGTATTGCAGGATGTTCATTCTTTCTCTCCTTTTGCATGTGGTTATATCTCTCAGACTTTTGCCCTGTCTGTGCTAACCAGATTAAAGCCCTGCCTCCTCTGTCTCTCACTCTTTTCACATTGGTCCTTTCACTGGAACACCACCACAGGACCCTCCCCCCCTCTGTATCTGTTCTCCCGGTGGCTGTCAGTCAGTTTGGATTATTGTAACCTCTCAGGCCTCACATGTGCTCCCTCTGTTCCTCCTGCTGTGCACATTACAGCATATCAGCCATGACCAGGATTAGGTGACAGAGAGCAGTGCTCTGTCTGTTTCTCCTTCTGAGAAAAGAGAGGACGGGAGGAAAGAAGGCAGCCATGGAGTTAAAGTAAGTGGGGGACTGCTATTTTTAACTTGGGAAAAGAGGAAAAAGGAATTAAAAGCCTTTGGATTAAACGAAGGGAGGGTCTACAACAAGGATGATGAATATGTGGTAAATCTTTGCCTGATGTTGGTTTGGCTTCTAAAAGAAGAACATATAAAAGAAATGCCTCTGTGATTAAATGTCACTGGGTTAATGCTTGAGAGAGGAGTTCCAGCTGCAGATTGAATGGCCTCAGGTACTCTGATGGTGGATCCCATTTTCATGCACACATCACCTCTCATTTTCTTTTATCATTCCTTCTGGTAAAAGGCAGGTGCAACAAGAAAAAGTAGCCTTTGAGCAGGTCATCAAATGCTATTAAATCAATGAAATGAGGTAGTGTTCAGAATAAACTGCATATAATAATGATCCAAGTGCTGTACAGAAAGCAAATATACAGTAAGCCTAGTAAAATGATTTTACCTGCATAAAGAATGTGAGTGGTAAACATGCACACGTTTCACTTCTGCAGTCAGTCAACACATCAACTCCAGACTTTAGCTTTTGGTCACAGACTGAGCAAAGCAATTGAAGTAGCTTGAAACCTAGTGGGGTTTTTTTGTTGCCACTGTTTGGAAAGCACAGTTTGCTTGGACAATGAGCTGCCATGTTTCCAACTTCAGAGAATATAGGTTGACAGATGTGCTGCATGGAAGGTTTCTAGTTTCTTTACAGCTGCAAAACTGTGCTGTTCAGTTTGAGTTCAGTTGTCATGCATACGCTCTGACATGGCGATACAGAGCTTTGTCTTATCTTCTGCACGCAGAGTCCAAGGTTGGCAGATATATTGCCCGGTTGACTGACTCAGGGTTTCCACTTTGCAGTTGGCCGCCTTGCCCATATTTCAACCCAGTCTCATGGGAAAATGTACCCCCACTACGTTGGTCCAAGTATGAACAGTTTCAATAGAGAAACCTTAAAATGTTAAAATAAGATAAAAAAAAAAACCATAGAATTCCCCTTAATAGCAGCAAAGATCTTGCAGATTATCCAACTTTTAAAGCCATTATATCGACCCAAACTCTCACTTTTAAACATGGATGATCATTGTTTCATCTTTTGTCTGCTGACAGATAGGTGGTTACAGTGTTGGATAGGTGATATTAAGACGTGTTCTGCTGCTCTAATCTCTAACATCCAGTCACCAATGAAATTTTAAAATTAATCTGATAATTTTGTTGTAATGTATGGCTTCAGCATATATTGCACTTCGAGCCTTTATTTGGCTGAAAAGGATGGTTTGAAATGCTGTTTTGAGAGACTAACTGAAGCAGTAGAAAATCTGGTTAAAGGCTTGATGTTGAATCCGTGTGTTCAGTTGCTTGAGGTATTTTTTGAAAAATCTACAAAACTGCTAAGCTAACAGTCATATCTAAATGTTTGGTATCAGTGGTTGACACCCAAGTCCTACCTCTTTCCTAAATCACCCAATGGACACATTGTGCTTGGTCAGTCTAAAACAAAAATGCCTTTATTGTCCCTCAGTGGGAAAAATTCAAGTCAAACATCAGTTAAAATAAGTAGACCAAAGATGCACACCAAAACATAAAAAAGAAAACACATCAGATTGTTGCTGTTAATATATAAAAAGGTTTCACTACTTCAGTGCTAGAATCTGAAAACGGTAGATCCCAAATCTCTTTGGTGTGAACAGTTCCATCAGCGAGTAATAATAGATAACGGGATCATTCACTTTCCACTAAATTAGGATTCATAAATGTTTTTTAGTAATGAGATTCACAACTTTGTTCCTTTTCGTTGTTTTTATATTTTTGTTGTGACCTGGAAATATTTTAATAATTTTTAACCTGATTTTTTTATCGGTTTATTGGCACTTAATAAATATGTCTTGGAGTGTCTGCTGGGTACAGTGCCACAGTGGGATATCACTGTGGCACTGTACGTTGCTCTATAGAGCAGCAGGTAGCCAATTGGAATTTTGTAAGGATTTAAATGTTTAAATTGGGAAAAAATGCCTTTTTATGGTTTAAGAATCCAATATTCTTATCATGATAATTTAACTTGAGTCTTGCTCGAGTTAAAATAAACCCTTGTTCATATTTTCTATGATAATCTGAGTTTCTTGTAAACGAACAGCTGTTAACTGTCAGTCATTAGCTGCGTTTTCAGCTCTCCTGGCAATAAATTTAACCAAAATTGCAAAAGGGAACAGTCTTACTTAACAAAATATAATATGCATTCATTAAATGATGTGCAGGTGGAGGGGAATTGCTGGTACTCAGTTCTTTAAAGCAGTGCTGTGATAAATGGCAGGAACGGAACGAGAAGCTAATTTTTTAGAAAAATCTGCAATTCAGTCTGACTGTGCAGAGCTGTTGTTTATTCTGTGACACAATGTGTTGTGTGGTCAGAAAAAAAAAGAGAGAGATGTTTAAAAACAGCTGAGGTCAGTGCTCTAGAAAGGGCTGTGAGAGACCAACAGAGAGAACTATACCAACATGGAAAAACTCTGCGAGGTAATAAAAATGGCTCACAGCTTATGATGTGAATCCATAAAGGAAGCAGTGAAATCAAGTGCCGTATTTACATACTTATGGTTAGAATGTTGCACTGAGTGATTTAAGGTTTGTGTGCATGCAGGTTCTAGAACTTTATGTAAACTAATACATTTTTTTGTCTTGTTTTTACTTGGCCTTCATAGGATCTACTTTAATGCTCGTTTTCCACGTATCAGCAGTTCATTTATCTCATTATGTGCCTTTTTTGTGCTCAGAGTATTTAACAGCTTCAGAAAACATAAACTTTTCAATTTTGGGGTAAATCAAACTGAACAAATGGACAACAGCTGAATTTCTTGGAACCTGATCTAATATTTGAGTCTGATCCAATCCTGATGTCATTGCTGGATGATATTTCAGGCTGAGGACACTGATCCAGACTCCATGTTGTAGTTTATTTTGGCTGATTTTACTATGGAGGTAAATTATATTTTAAAAGACATTTAATAGACTTTTTAACATAAAAAAAAAATCATTATCAGGTAGGGAGCTCTACCACAGAATCGTTTGCTCCATTTTGGGATTTTGGGTAGATTTTGGCATTGAGAGCAGAAGATAACAAGATGGGAACACTCTTTAGGGTGAAAAAAGGACGCGTCTTAGCTATTCTGAACATCATTACAGGACAGAAACACACATGGATGAAGCTTTTTAAAAATTGGGGCTAAAGCCTTCTGGAAAAGAACTACAAAAAACCAGTTACCTAAATGTAAAATGATGAAGTTCTTCATTATAAAACACCACACATATAAAGGGGTGCAGGTTCTTGTGTGTCATACAGATTAAACTTGAAGGAAAAAATGCAGTTCTGGTAGGCTGCCATGCAATGGATTGTGGGAAATGTATAGTTCCTAGGAGGTGAACTGGAAAATCTGGAGATTCCTATTCTAAATAAACTATTAACTTGAGAGCACTTTTTGGACAGCACTTTGGCGCAAGTGTCCTTACTGATTTGCCCGACTGTATCCACCTCGGACCTTTACAGAGGAGCAACAACCAGCTTCGGCAGCAGGAAGACTGGATTAGAGAAAGTTACTTTATTTTAAAGTTATGCTTTCAACTGCTGCCATAAAATATACTATATTGCCAGAAGTATCTATCTAGAACTGAAATCGTATATCAGTTCTTACTTGCACTCACTTCCTGTATCTCAGAGAAAGGACCATATAGACTGAGAGAGGTTTTCTGTCAGTTTAGAAATCACTGAAATGCTTCGCCCCAAATTTCCAAAGTACTAAAGGAATTATAAAGTGTTATGTCAATAACTTGAACTGTAGGCAAACAACCATGACAACCTTTTAGAAAATGTTTTCAACTCCAAGGAGAACGCTGTTGTTCCCAAAATGTGTATTATTTTTCTTTAGATTTTATTGAAAAACATGAAAACAGTCTTTGCATTTACTGCCTACCTTACTGGGACTTGTTTATAGTTCATATCATTTTGTTTTATGGTAATTAATTTCTATAGTAAGTAATTCTATCCCATTGCTTGTTTTGGTCTTTACATTAACGTCACTGTCATGTTTCCAGGCTGCTTGATGTGTATTGTCTTGTTTTGCATTATTCCTGAGTAAGGTCACCTCATTGAGAGAAGGCAGAGATGAGATCAATGAACACAACTGTGGGGATGGCATTATTTGTAATGCATTTTATTCTGTGACAACTATATATAAGGAAGAATTTCCTGTTTCATAAAATCCAGCCTGACAAACCAGATGAAGAAAAATAATGGCTTTATAACCCTTTCATACTTTGCAGCTTTATTTTTCACCTGTATTTTTTCCCCTGAGAATGACCACAGATGCAAAAGAATGACCTAGAAGTAACCAGGGATCTTTTTAATTCAGTGGATTTAGCAGGACTGCTTGCATAACATTTAAAAGACTTAAAATTTTAGAAAGATAAGCAACATTTGAGCAGGATGCAGATCTAAAGCTATAATCCATAACCTGCGTGATTTTACACAAGATTAGATGCTTCTATGTTTTATAGAGCAGTATGGTCGCTCCTTTATCCTGACCAAGCTGGGTTATGTTATTGGTGTCAGTTTGATTCCACGTTGACAGATTCATGGCTTGATTTGAATATGGGAAATCAGTAAAGACTATTTAATGAAAGCAGAAGTGTGTAAACCATCGCTATAGCCAAGCAGTGCTTACGGTAAGGAGGGAGGTAGGAAAAGGTGAACCATTTCGTGTAGATGTAGACTGTTTATTTCCATCCTGCAGGAAAACCTTGACCAGGGGTCTTCAGTTCAAGTTCTGGAGGCAATAGGACTTTAACATTTTGTCTGTTTCTACTGAAACTCATTTTACACCTTTTTAGATGCATTTGCTTCTACACTAATCCCAATGGCTGAATTATGTCCACACTATGTGGTCAAGTTGTCAAGTATTCCGCTAAATTTTTGGTTCAGGTGTGTTGAAACGGAATAACATCTACAAGGTTCAGGACACTTGATGTCCAACACCTGCTCTAGACATTGTTTCCCCTAGCTCACTCTAAGAAACTCCAAGGTGTTCCTTTATTATGAGGGGCAATTGTGATACTTCCTAAAATTTCTGGATCTGCTCTCAAAAGGATTTGCCTAGAAAACTTGAAAAGAAGGTGCAAATGAAGCATGCTGAACTGGCGTATTTTAATGAGGAGCAGTGACTCCACAGCAGATACTCGCCAGAAAACCTAACCCTCATGAATCTCTCATTAGCTCATAGGGTCAAGATGTTGGCCGCTGTTGTGCGGTTAGGATGAAAACCTCAGAACTCCTTCTGCATAAGGGCATTGAGTAATCTGCTTTCCAACACAAAAAGTTCCTAATCATTGCTTGCACCTTTGACGTCATTATCTATTAGTAACTTAAACTCATGCTTCTTTTCTTGTGTTCGATCTTTGCTACCACAACATATTTGATGTCTGACCTTCCTTCTGTTCTTTTCTCTTCTTGTTTGCTCTGACTCAGCAGCCATACGCACACCCACACCATGAAAGAGCTTTGTTATTGGCCATGGATGGAACCCTCTCCTTTTTTCATCTCTCTTATTTGTTAGCTCACAAACAGTCAGCCAATACTCATTCACACACTTCTGGTGCTGCATGATCTCGTTGCACCACGCTGCAGTGAGGCAGCATTTTCTGCAGTCAGACAGGAAAGGAGGGAGATGAATGGATGGGAGAGGGAGAGGGAGAGGGAGAGCTGGGAATAGAGAAGATGGGAGGAGGGGAAGTGGTGAAGAAGTAAGCTGGGAGGAGAAAGGATTATGTAAAAATGAAACGCAATCTCGGTCCAGCAACCCTTCTCAACTTTGCTCCCATGCGCACACGACCACGAACACACAAAGAGGCTACTGTCCCACATCCTGGAATCCCTTGTTTGTATCGCTGATGATGGGAATGAGGCGTAATGTCAGCTTAGGATATGACTTAAAGGTATGTTTACAGGGATTTAATTCTTTATTACTTTATTATTCTGGAGTTGGTGTTTGTAACTGTAGAGAGTGCAGAGAATAACTCCCATTGATCTGTTCAGCTGTTTATATAAGCTTTCCTGTTGTCCCCAAACTGTGTTAAAACAAGGATACCCATCTCACCTTCTCTGTTTGATGTGTGATTCTGTGTGTGCTAGATGGAGGCCACATCTAGCAGAAATTATTCCACTGAGCGACAGCGGCTCTGATTATATAAGAACAGAGTGTTGTTCGGCTGTGGCGATCTTTTGCACGGTCAACACATCACAGCCTCTGTTATGACTGTCGGCAGGATTTAGGAGTTTTACTAATCAGAGCAAGGTGCATTTGATGACTTCGTCCTCTGCTGGATCTGCTCCGTCTGGCCTGGTGAGTTAGGGATCTAATCTGATCTGTGGGTTGTCTGTGCAGCTTCATTCAGATCATCTTTCTGGTAAAGGATAATTCTTTGTTAGACATTTGCTTTTATAAATTTGATAATTTTATTAACTTTGTTTGTTTTTCTTCCCCCTGTTATACATCTGTGCAATGATAAGTTCTACTACTTTAAAATCATACTTTTTTTTGTGTGTGTGTGTTTGCTTTAAAATGTATATAAAATTAGATTAAGACTGCTGGGAAGGGGCGGAGGGGTAAGGACATGCACTCAGGGAAAAAGACTGCCCCTGAGGGTTTCCTTTTCAGAAGCAGGGGTGGCCTGTTTTTGTGCCAGTGTTTAATGTAAGGAGACAATGAACACGTTGACACACTTTCTGTGTCTGTTAGCTGCCAGATTTTGTTACAGAAATTATACGGAATGATGCAAGGGAAGATTTTCACAGAAAGCTTGACAGTAATGATACAGAAATGGACAGCATATTATGAATGATGTTCTCTCAGGCTCTGCATTACTTCCTGATTAAATATTTATCCCCTAAAAAGCTTGTCCTGACAAACATAAAGCACTTCCTGCATGTTTCCCAACAGAGGACACAGAACAGGATCTCAAGGAATCGTCTTTTCTTTTACTTTTTTTCATGGTGCATGGTGGACTTTGTAGATAGATTAGAAATGAAAGAAGGATAATGATTTAGTCAGACTGTTCTGTTTTATTTTCAGTTTTTTATTCATATAGCTTTAATCCACAACACATAATTTCAAGGCACTTTACAGAGACAATTATATTAGAAATATTAGCTGCACAGCTGATATTTCCAGGATGGTGTCACAGCCAATGAAGATCATGATGGTAAAAGCAGAGAGACCATGAAGTCAGATGATAGATGAAGAATGAAGCAGAATGATGAAAAGTGGTCCCTATATCCTCCGGCAGTCTAAGCCTATAGCAGTATACATTCTATCAATGGGTTGATTAATGATAACTTTACAAGTTTCTTCACTATCAAGACAGTCTATTTTTAAGATTGCTTTAGTGCTTACTTTAGGGCTATTTTTTTACCCATTTATAAATTCCTTGCAGCTTTGTTTGCTTTGTTTTTTTCTTTCAAACTGTCTCCTTGTGCTACAAATGTCCGCAAAACATAAAGAAGATGAAACACTTTAGAAAAAATTTGTGTTTAAGAAAAATAGACCCAAGTGGTTTCTCTATCTGTAGAAGTTTGTATCATTTTGTTTTTCTTTAAGATCCAAAGACGAATTGTGTACATTACTAGGCCTTGGTTGAGAGTCAAATCCACTCTTTCAAATGCAATCTTTGATCTTCCTTACTCCGGCATTTTTGGTCATTCCAATGATGTTCTTACATTGTATTGTAAAACCCTCTGGAGTCTCACTGTTTTTTGTCTGCTGGTTTGGTTTGTGAAGGGTGCAACATAAGAGGAAAACGGACTCCTGTGTCCGCGTTCTAGGATGGCCACGGAAAGCTCCACTATTCCCAGTCCTGTTGTCCGCCAAATTGACAAGCAGTTCCTGATCTGCAGCATATGTCTGGACCGCTACGAAAACCCCAAAGTACTGCCTTGTCTGCACACCTTCTGTGAGAGGTGAGTGGAGATGATGTGAAGCAGCATATGGGATGACACACGCTTCTGATTTTCTTCCATCTGCATTTATATTTCAGGAAGGTGATATCAGCATAAAAATTATTTCAAATGTATTTGGCATGTGGCATCTTGAGAGAAAATGTGTGTTGCTGGTTTAGTCATCATTCCAACAAAACATTTGTCCTCTTAACTTGTTTAGTTTTAGTTTTTATCACGAAGTACTTTCTGGATGATCATATTAATATTTGCTTTAATTTAACATTTTGTATACACTCTGTGTATTAAAAATCACATTTTATTTTGTACAGCTTTCCAGACTATAAAAGAACATTTCCATTCCATAAAGTGCAGCAGAAATCAAATGTAAACAGTGTGGGAGAAAAAAACGTGGTGCAAAACGCTTCACGCTTCAGGCATTGATATGGAAGTTCAGATCATCAATATATGGTGCAAATATGCAGGATTTTTGGTTTGGTGTTATCAGTGTGATGCAGAGTCTGTGACGTGATTTAGACTTTTTTCAATAGTTCAGCAATCTGATTGGCAGATCGGACAGCTCTAGTAGGGTGATATACGGTCAACATCTCAGTTAAATATAATGGAACAAGAACATGAAGGGCTCTAAAAACAAGCATTAAAATTTTTAAATCAATCCGAAAACAGGCTGGGAGTCCGAGTAAGGAATATGTTGCATAGTGTCTCACAGAGAAAAACTGAACAAAGCAATGATTTATTGCAACAGTAAAAGTGAGTAAATCACTTTCAACTGGGTTAATGAGTTCTTTGGGTATCTTTGTGTTTTGTTCCATTCTATCAACTACAGGTGCCTGCAGAACTACATCCCTGCCCACAGCCTCACCCTGTCGTGTCCTGTGTGCCGACAGACATCTATTCTCCCAGAAAAGGGGGTGGCGGCACTGCAGAATAACTTCTTCATCACCAGTCTGATGGATGTGCTGCAGCGAAGGCCAGATACCTGTAGCCAGGAGGCCACCACCCTCGACAACGTAACCGCTGTGGCTACAAAACAGCTGCTCTCCTGCCCCAACCATGGGGGAAGTGTAAGAGATGCTTCCAATAAAACCAGTCTCTTTAATAATTTAGGTTTTTAGCTAATTTCACATTTGGAATCAGTTTTTTACATTGTTATTCAGAGGGAAACCATAAAGGTTTTTTTTAAAGATAGATACTGGTCTGAAAATATAAACCTAGGGAGCAAGCTTACAGCAAAATGTTTCTAACAAAATAATATTTTGGCTCTTTCGCAATATGAAGCATTGACTCAATCAAAAATAAAGTTATAACCGTTCAAAATGTGTCTGTGTCAATAGATCTAAATCTTTATTTTTTTAGGTGATGGAGTTTTACTGCCCACCCTGTGAGACAGCCATGTGTCAAGAATGCACAAGTGGGGAACATGGAGAGCACCCAACCGTGCCTCTAAAAGATGTAGTGGAGCAGCACAAGGCCTCATTACTGGACCAGCTGAATGCTGTGAAGAAGAGGTACAACAGGACAGGGCTATGAGCAGCTCCACCTATTTCTCTCTCTGAATTTCATTGTATAATGACCCGTGCTCCATTTAGGCTTCCGGAGATTGACTCCGCCCTGCTGACCCTGTCTGAGATCCTGCAGCAGCTGACCAGTCGTAAAAGCTCCATAGAAGATGACATCCATACAACCTTTGATGAGCTGCAAAAGACCCTCAATGTCCGCAAGAGTGTTTTACTAATGGAGCTGGAGGTCACCTATGGGCTGAAACAAAAGGTGAGGAAAGGTTGTTGGAGCATTTATAGTTCTCCCGTTTCCTGACTTTTCATGAGAACTTGATTTACTTTCTGAAGTTGATGGGGCAAAAAACACATTTACATGTATTAAAGGGGTCATAGAATGATTATATAGGTTAATTGGTGCTGGTCCTTAAGGTCTCTGAATAGGGTGTGCAACATTGGTTGGGCTGAAAATGGCATATTTACTATGAGCCCTAATTCAAACCTGGTTAAAAGCCCTAGAATCAAACATCAGGTTTTATTCCTTTTATGGTAATCTCATGAATATTTAGATGAGCTGTGCGCTGATTGGTTTGTTTACTACGAGCAAAGCTGCTGAGCAAAGACTCATCATAGCAACAAGCACTCATTCACTGAAACATCAAATTATTGATATGGTAGGGTGACCAGACTTCCTCTTTTTCCCAGAAATCTCCTACATTTCATACGCCAAAAAAAATTCCGGGGAGAATTTCAAAATCATCCGGGATTTTGGTCAAATACAATGCAGCAGAACAGACCCGTGGGCTCCAGGGCTGTTCTGGGAAATCCGGCGGATGGGGGCAACGAGCCAGCGGGGGATGGAGCGACCGAACCCGACCCGGTGACGGTTGCCTGGACGCCGGCGGCCCCGTGTTTATATAAAACAAAAAAAAAACTGAACATTAATCTTTTTAGGCTAATCTACCCAGCTAAATGTTTATCGTAATGAGAGATATAGGAGCAGATATACACTCACCGGCCACTTTATTAGGTACCCCATGCTAGTAACGGGTTGGACCCCCTTTTGCCTTCAGAACTGCCTCAATTCTTCATGGCATAGATTCAACAAGGTGCTGGAAGCATTCCTCAGGGAGTTTGGTCCATATTCACATGATGGCATCACACAGTTGCCGCAGATTTGTTGGCTGCTTATCCATGATGCGAATCTCCCGTTCCACCACATCCCAAAGATGCTCTATTGGATTGAGATCTGGTGACTGTGGAGGCCATTTGAGTACAGTGAACTCATTGTCATGTTCAAGAAACCAGTCTGAGATGATTCCAGCTTTATGACATGGCGCATTATCCTGCTGAAAGTAGCCATCAGAAGTTGGGTACATTGTGGTCATAAAGGGATGGACATGGTCAGCAACAATACTCAGGTAGGCTGTGGCGTTGCAACGATGCTCAATTGGTACCAAGGGGCCCAAAGAGTGCCAAGAAAATATTCCCCACACCATGACACCACCACCACCAGCCTGAACCGTTGATACAAGGCAGGATGGATCCATGCTTTCATGTTGTAGACGCCAAATTCTGACCCTACCATCCGAATGTTGCAGCAGAAATCGAGACTCATCAGACCAGGCAAGGTTTTTCCAATCTTCTATTGTCCAATTTCGATGAGCTTGTGCAAATTGTAGCCTCAGTTTCCTGTTCTTAGCTGAAAGGAGTGGCACCCGGTGTGGTCTTCTGCTGCTGTAGCACATCTGCCTCAAAGTTTGACGTACTGTGCGTTCAGAGATGCTCTTCTGCCCACCTTGGTTGTAACGGGTGGTTATTTGAGTCACTGTTGCCCTTCTATCAGCTCGAACCAGTCTGGCCATTCTCCTCTGACCTCTGGCATCAACAAGGCATTTCCGCCCACAGAACTGCCGCTCACTGGATGTTTTTTCTTTTTCGGACCATTCTCTGTAAACCCTAGAGATGGTTGTGCGTGAAAATCCCAGTAGATCAGCAGTTTCTGAAATACTCAGACCAGCCCTTCTGGCACCAACAACCATGCCACGTTCAAAGTCACTCAAATCACCTTTCTTCCCCATACTGATGCTCGGTTTGAACTGCAGGAGATTGTCTTGACCATGTCTACATGCCTAAATGCACTGAGTTACCGCCATGTAATTGGCTGCTTAGAAATTAAGTGTTAACGAGCAGTTGGACAGGTGTACCTAATAAAGTGGCCGGTGAGTGTAAATTGTAATACATTTTTAGACATGTAACAAAAAACTAGTGGGTAGAAAGATACATTTAACTTTTTAAATTTTTTTAACATTCTTATAGTTATGGGTTAAAGGTGGCATAATAAAAACATTTAAGCACACAGTTTGTAACTAAAATGCATTGATAGGAATAGAACAAACATACTTTCATTATCTTGAGTTAATGCATACCTCAAATAAAACCAACAGAAAAATGAAAGCTATACAAGTGTATCTTTGTTTTTATGGTGTAACAGGTTTATATCTTTTGTTTAAAGGAATCACTTTCAGCATTTTTAATTTTGTTATGTTTAGTCTGATTTTTACGGATTTAATTTTATGGGATATAATTAGTGCTGATTGTGGCTGTTCTGCACCACACTTCTGTTCCCTGCTAAATTGACTTTTTAGAGATTGGGCTCGTTTATTATCTTTGTTATAAAAGGGTAGAATAATAGGCTTTCCTCCTATAAGGCTTCTCATCAGGCAGCTTTTGCTGGTCTGTTTGTCAGACCACATGTGTGGCTAAGGATTTCCAATTCACTGACTGGTCTGAAATCAACACACTTGACCCCTGGGAAGAACCAAACATGTGACTTGCTGTAGAGCTGTGGCTAGATGGAGCCAGTGAGCCGTGAATGTTTTTTTTTGTTTTTTTTTTCTCTGGATGATCAGGGTGTGTCATGTGCAGGGAAAGCAAACTGTACAGTACAGCTCTGCTCCTGACACTGGAGAAACTTTATCCTCCGTTTGTCCTCTCGCTGCATATGAGAACTGTTGAGGTTTCTGAGCTTCAGTTGGAGACAAATGAGGAACTTTGGAGGAAACACTTAAGATTAAAACATTAATGGCATCTTGCTCAGGAAAAGATGACTTTGCTGACCAGATCTTGGTGAGTTGAGCCCGTTCTCCGCTATTAAATATCCCTGTTTTCTTCATAAGTTTAACCTTACAACATATCTATTTGTCATAATAGATATGTTGTAAGGTTGTATTGGACATTTTCTGTGCTGCAACATCAAATGCAAGACTGTTGCATGATCCAGAAACATTTTTTTTGCAAAATACAGGAGCAGCTGACAAAACACCTCTCTACTTTTTTTTAATAAACTGCTCTTGTAAACAACGGAGTGTGACAGGAAAACTGAAACAAAAATAATAATTGAGACGAAGAGCAGGAAAAACTGGCCTGTTTAGAATAATTATTATAATGAGCTTCAGATCCTGTAACATCTTCCAGTTCGCTTCACGGGTTTTATGGGTCATCCACCTAAAACTACTGAAAACATTTGAAACTGATACAGAACCTTGTAAAATGATTCATTCGTTCAGTTAAAGTTCTACCTATGGTCACCCCACAGCCACAAACTTTGCTGCTTTTTCTTGTTTCTATTTTTGTTTATTTAATGATGTAAGCTACATTGTGATGAGGGGCATATGTTTGTAGTTGGCTCTCTTTTATTATAATACCCTGAAATAAAATGAAGTCAAGCAAATTACTTTTGTAAAATACAGCCGGTTGTGAATGCATCAGATGTCTCTTGGAGATCATCTAAAGTTCAAAGAAGAAATTTGATCAGGGAGAAAATGAATAAGTTCAAAGCAGAGAGGTTATAAAACATTAACCTAACTTCTCCAAATCTTACTGACTGTCTGCACAGGAAAAGCAGATGGAGTAACATGGCCTCTAAAGATCTCCTCTGCAGGTGGAAGGATCTGCCCACAAAACGGCTGTTATTTTTTTTTGTGGGTAGATAATTTTTTGTCTTCACACCTTATTTATACACTTGTATAATGGAAAAGTGCATTTTTAAAGCCAAAGCTTTTTTTTTGCAGTTTGCCTCATGCTATTTTACCAAGAAGATGGAAAATTCACTGTTATTATGTACAAATATCATGACTTTATTTACATGCATAGTTTGACAGCAAAAAGCATAATCCATGTCAGTTGTTTCCCTCTTCAGTGGCTTCAAATTTATCCTCTCAATTAATCCAGTGCTGCCTTGCTGCCCCCTGGTGTCTCCATGTGTAGGTTCTCCAGGCACAATTGGACACCTTACTGCAGGGACAGGAGGGCATCAACAGCAGTTGTAACTTCACCGAGCAGGCGCTGACCCACGGCAGCGAGGCCGAGGTGCTGCTGGTGAAGAAGCAGATGGGTGAGCGTCTCATCGAGCTGGCCAATCAGGAGCTCCCTCTGCAGCCAGGTGAAAATGCCCAGCTGGACTTCCTCGTTGAGACAGATGGGTTAAAGAAATCTATCCACAACTTGGGCACCGTGGTAACCACAAACGCTGTTGCATCCGAGACTGTGGCCACAGGTGAAGGGTTACGACACTGTGTGGTAGGTGTGCCCACAGCCATCACCATAACCACTAAGGACAAAGATGGGCAGCTGTGCAAGATGGGTAATGCAGTCATCACTGCTGAAATCTCCTTCTCTGACGGGTGCAAAGTTGATGGAGAGATCCTGGACAACAAGAACGGCACCTATGACTACCTTTTCACTGCTCCCAAAGAAGGCCCTTTTAACCTATCTTTGCGCTTGTACAACCAACACATCAAAGGAAGTCCGTTTAAAATAAAGGCCCACATACAAACATCCCTGAATTCAGATGGCACAAAGAAGAGGCTGAAGTCTCCAGGCAGCGGACACATCAAGCAGAAAGCCTTCAAAAGGCCGGCCAGTATGTACAGCACCGGGAGGAGGAAAGAGAATCCCATCGAGGATGATCTTATCTTCCGAATAGGTGAGTATATATTTTTTTAAATAAACTTTCACACTGTCATTTCCTACAAGATGACAGAAGGATTTGGTCTGTGTAAAAATGCATAAATAAAACTACTATAATCTTTACACACAGAAAATGTTACTGTGCAATGAAAAATCTTGAGTCATTCCTCTTATTTTATACCGGATAAGTTGCTTTAAGGTTCCAGACTAGAAATAAGCTTAAATGGATGACAAAAATGTCAGACCTAGAAAGATATTTTGAGTTTTAGTAGTCAGGTCTTCAAGGATCAGAAATATAGATAATTGAAGAAACTAAGAGATGTATTATTCCTCAGTTGATCATCCTCCCACTGCCGAATTTACAGCCAATTCTTCTTCTGAAAACCTCATGTTGGAGATATATTACCTTTCTGTTTTTTTTATTCTTTTCTGTTTTTTTATTTATTCAACTAAAATTGTAAACTAGTTGTCTTTTCATGGATAATATGTTTGACCCAGTTTATTCCAAGTAATTTTGCCCTTTCACTGAATCCATATTCCTTTTTTGTATCCATGCGTACCATTTGGAACCCAAACACTAAACCATTATCTATGTTTGTCTTATTAGATGCTAAATGATCAGTACTCAATTGATTGAATCCAAATAAACTCAGAATGACCTCCTGGTGGTAGGCAATGTTTATTAGACACCCATAAACACATTTTGTTGGCCATTTATCTTAACTGAGACATTTGCAAAAGGAACAAAATAACAATCTGGATTTTTGTCACACTGTTAATTACGCAACAATATGTTTGATGCTAGTTAAAGGAATAGTACACCCAAAACATGATTAGCCTTCATTTTCTACTCACCCCCATGCTGAACAACACTCTGGAGTACTTTTTTGACATCTCAAATGCATCTGGAGATCTGGGAGGCTTCTTGCTGTCTGCTGACATTCAAATAATGGAGGTCTATGGCGCCCGAGACAGAAAGGTCCACAAAAGTCCACAAAAACGTGTCAATATTCCTCCATACTGCTCGTCCAATGTAATCCAAGTGTCCTGAGTGGGTAGCATCCAGAATTTACTCGAAACGAAGTAATTTAGAACGTTTTAGAGCCTAAACAGTAGTGTATAGGATTTCCTAATAGCGCCCCCATGCGCGCTCACGATTCTACGGAAGCCGGCAGACCAAACCGGAAGGAAGTGCGCATTCAGCGTCTGCTCTGCCGATAATGCAAGCGTAGAAGAAGAAATGTGCTGTTTACCTGTGCAAAGAAAGAAACAACGAAAGAAAAATGTCTGAGGACTTCAGTGTTGAGGAAGAGCATGAGTTCTTTGCCGAGCTGAATGCGCTGGTTTGGTCTGCCGGCTTCCGTAGCGTCGTGAGCGCGCATGGGGGCGCTATTAGGAAATCCTATACACTACTGTTTATGCTCTAAAAACATTCTAAATGACTTCGTTTCGAGTAAATTATGGACGCTACCCACTCAGGACACTTGGAATACATTGGACGAGCAGTATGGAGGAATATTGACACGTTTTTATGGACTTTTATGGACCTTTCTGTCTCGGGCGCCATAGACCTCCATTATTTGAATGTCAGCAGACAGCAAGAAGCCTCCCAGATCTCCAGATGCATTTGAGATATCAAAAAAGTACTCCAGAGTTTTGTTCAGCATGGGGGTGAGTAGAAAATGAAGGCTAATCATGTTTTGGGTGTACTATTCCTTTAACAGTCAGTGCTGGTACCGACTTTGGTGGCCTACATTTTAGATTTGTTATACATACAGGGTATATACAACGAAATTTCATAGATCAGATGGAGGATTATCCTGAGACTGCGCCACCACTGATGGCTGACCTGACCAGCATGTCTTTATTGGAATGGGAAGTGCGAGGAGGAGACCTATGCGGACTCGGGGAGATGTCCACATAGAGGGGCCAAGGACCCAAACCAGGGACTTTCCTGCTGTCAAGCTAAAGTGCCAGCTATTGTCATGACTTTTCCACTTTATGAAGGGGCCGTTGGTGTTTATATCTGCAAACAGAAAAAACCCATTTGGGGTGAAACAGTTGTGCTGAGGTCCATCATTTTTTATTTTTAATATTTTTTTCATACAACTTAAATATTTCCAGATTTTGCCCCAGAACACTTCCACAAGTTAGCCTCCACTTAAGCTGCTTTTTCTGAATCTTCCTTTCAGAAGCTTTTCAAGCCAATGTCAGTAATCAGTGTATGTGAAGCTCAGGGCTTAAAAGACCTTCATTTATGCTTCTTTTCTTTAGGCACCAAAGGAAGAAACAAAGGGGAGTTTACCAATCTGCAGGGAGTAGCAGCCTCTTCTCAGGGAAAAGTGCTGATAGCAGACAGCAACAACCAATGTGTTCAGGTTAGCAAAAATCTTATTAATAATGTATGAAAGTTTCACTAGAGGAGTCACTGGATTTATTTTAAGCATTGTGGGGAGTGGTGGCCTAGTGGTTAGGGCATAGAGCTTGGAAACCTGAGGTTCTGAGTTCAAGCCCCACTCCCACAGACTGCCCATCTGGGTCCCTGAGCAAGGCCCTTAACCCCACACTGCTCCCTGGGCGCCCAATTGTGGCAGCCCACTGCTTCCTGAGGGGATGGGTTAAATGCAGAGGTAAATTTCTCCAATGTGAGATCAATACATTTCAATTATTACCATTATAGGCTGTTATCTACGGATCATCTATTATACATTTGACTACTTTCATTAGCGGTTTTTTTGGTGGTATATTTCTCACACTACAGGTATTTTCCAATGATGGCCAGTTCAGAAGTCGTTTTGGCATCCGGGGCAGGTCTCCAGGTCAGATGCAGCGGCCAACGGGTGTGGCTGTCCACCCCACTGGTGACATCATCATTGCAGACTATGACAACAAATGGGTCAGCATCTTCTCAAGTGATGGGAAGTTTAAGGTAAGTTTTATGTTTTCTTTGTTTAGGTTATAGCTATTTGACAAAGTATTTTAACCAGCAGATGTTAAGAATTACTGAAGTATGTTTATCTTTAGAACATTTTTAAACAATATCTCTTTAAGGTATCTTATGGTCTTTAAATCTTAAATGTTTATTGGAAAACAAAAATATGTGTGTAGTATTCAGAGATCACTATTGTCTGCTTGGGACAGATGTAAAGCTGATTCAGTATTTGCATAACAGAAACCAAAACTTTCTCACTTCTGCAGAACAAAATAGGCTCAGGGAAACTGATGGGACCTAAAGGCGTAGCGGTGGACAGGAACGGCCACGTCATCGTGGTCGACAATAAGGCCTGCTGCGTCTTCATCTTTCAGGCCAACGGCAAGATGGTCACAAAGTTTGGTAACCGTGGCAACGGTGACAGGCAGTTTGCAGGTATTCTTGGAGATAAAACCTTAAGCTGCATGACAAAACCTGTGTCTGAGCAAAACCATTCAGAATGTTTTCTTGCGGCTTCTAGTTCATTTCCATCTTTACATGAGGTGCAGCTTCAAAAAGATCACACAGACCAACATTAGTCAGTACAAATAACCTTTATGGCTGACATTATTTCCTCAGGATTACATTTGAGATGGTTTTGTTTTGAGTATTTTTTTTTCCATTTTATACAAAATAAATCTGTTTAAGTCTAAGTCTTATTATTTTTCCTCCTGATATTTAAGAACAGAATTTCTTCTGTACTACAAATCAGCTAAAACTGACAAATGTCTGAAATGCGTTTTTGTTTTGTTGTCTTTATGCCAGGCCCTCATTTTGCTGCCGTCAACAATAACAACGAAATCATTGTGACGGATTTTCACAACCATTCAGTCAAGGTGAGTGCATTTTCACAAAAGATGGTTTATATACTAGTCTTAATTTTAAGTAAAAAAAAAAAACAAACATTTTTTAGAAAGTTGTTTTAGGAAGTAAAGCTTTTAAAGTAATCGTAGACATTCTATTCTTTCTGAATATGTTTAACCTTGGACTAATTAAGTGGTCTTCTATAAATATATTGTAAATAATTACCTCAAGATGTTAAATGAATTGTTCAAAAATGCTTTCTTTTTAAGCACACCTTGTTGGAGTAACTATCTGATTAAAAAACGTCTACAAAATATGATTTTCCTGCAGATTTATATTGTTTGAAAACTTAACCTTTTCTTCCTTTTTAAGATGGCAATAAACTCAAAAACACAAATGTCCCACTTGACGGCTGTATTTCTTTAGAAAACATCGACCAATTTGCCCATTTCTTCCACTATGTCAACATATTGAAGTGAATCAAGCAATGTAAAACCAATTCCCATTATTACCCAATCATTAAATAACACGTCTGAAAGTAAACCAGATGAGAAGAAGACCTGCACATTGCACTCCTTTTATAAGTATTTTTACACCTGAATGGGCATATAAGGTTGTTTGACTTCAAATAACCTTTAAACTTCAGTCAGCCTCGCGTTAGTGAAGATGGCAACACTCCCCTTTAACTATGATGCTGCTGATTTGAAAAGAGGAGGAAACACTGCAGAGCACAGAAAACAAAATATATCAGCTGGGTTATTTATTTTCTAGATCTCTGCACAGGAGATGTGACTGTAGAGCTTTTATATGGACTTTTGGGAAGTGGGTTTTATTTACAAAGATACCATGAATATATGACATAAAATTGTTATTTTTTTCAACCCAAAGTGGTGAAAATTTCAATATAAATTTAACAGAACAGTCTCAGTGGATAAGTTGAAAAAAAAACATAATCTCTTCAGTAATAGACCCGGACAAGCCACAGGATTAATGAGATGGGCTGATTACACATGGGACCTCAAGGACATCATGTCTGCTCTGTGTCCTACATATTGTAGGTGTTCAACACAGAAGGAGAGTTCCTGTTGAAGTTTGGCTCCAACGGCGAAGGTAATGGGCAGTTCAATGCTCCCACTGGAGTGGCAGTGGATGTCAATGGAAACATCATCGTAGCAGACTGGGGTAACAGCAGGATACAGGTCAGCAAACCATTAAACTTTTTTTTTTAAATTCATTTCAACTTCTTATTGACAGCTTTCTTCACAAAGATCTTTGCACAGGTTTAATATCATCCTCTGCTGTCTTTCTGAGTTCACGTGATTACTATTTGAAAACTATCCTGATTCATAAAGAGTCATTGGAGGCAATGCTGTGCCATTTAACAAGGTTCCAAAGCATTCTTGAAAAGAAATGCTTCAATACATTTATTTCTATTCTTTTTCAAAGCACACCTTTAGACATCTTTAACTCTGCTCCTAAGTTGTCATAGGTACTTTTACACATAATCCAGCTTGGTTTTACTCCACACCTAAAAGATGGAGAGTTTTTTTTTTTTTTTTGATGGGGGCACAGTTGTTTAAAATATGACTTTTCGTTATGGCCTTTAACAAACCAGTTAAAGTTCAATTTAGATTTAAAAAATAAAATAAAGACTATGGAGCTTTATAGACCAGGAAAAAAACACACATTTCAGATACAGTTGGTATGCAGAGAGTGTCCTTCCATCTAACACAAAAAGGCTACTGTTGGTCCTGGTCATTTTACACCCCACACTGAATACCTTCTCAGTGTGTGGAGAACCAAATTAGTTTGATCTTGCTGCAATAAAAAAGGAATAGCTTTAAAGGCTCTACATATTTATTTTTTTTTTTTACAAAGGTTATAGATGAATTGTAAATCTGTGTAATGAGTAGAATTTCCTTAAAATAAAATAAAAAAACTCTTAAAAGTTTTCAATTTATTTAATGTTTTTTTAAACTAATTTTCTCCCATTGGTCACTAGCTTTAAAGGGGTGATAGAATTCAAAACTGAGTTTACATTGTCATAGATGAATACGATGGTTCATCGGGTGAAATGGATGTACAGAGAAGTTCAAACCCCATCGACTCCTCCTTTCTCTGCAAATCTCACAATTCTAAACTTCCACCATGAAATGGGCGAATCCAAACGAAGCACCAAGTTGACGTAAACTTGGGGATGTTGCCTTATTTGGTTCTGGCCTGTAGTTTTGTTACACCCCGAAATTTACATACAGACCAGCCCACTGGTTTACTGGCCGAAGGGATTTGGGGGGTATGAAATGTTGACTGCTGTGCCACTGACTGGACCGGACCTGAGCAGAGAGCCATGAGCCGCCCGTCCTCAGCCGGAGGAGGGGGGCGGTAAGGCAGGCGGGGGAAAGCATAGGGCTGCCGTTCAGGCAACCGTCACCAGGTCGGGTTCGGTCGCTCCGTCCCTCACTGGCTCCCTGCCCCCGTCCGCCGGGGTTCCCGAACAAGCCCTGGAGCTGACGGTTCGGTTTGAATGCCTGGTGTGTTTCGCCTACATGCTGCACTGTAATCGACCAAAATCCCTGAATGATTTTGAAATTCCCCCCGGACATTTTATTGGGTATGAAAAGTAGGACATATCCTGGAATAAGAGGACGTCTGGTCACCCCACCATATCAACAATTTGATGTTTCGGTGAGTGAGTGCTTATTGCTATGATGTGTGTTTGCTCAGCAGCTTCGCTCGTTGTAAACCAACCAATCAGCGCACAGTTCGTCTAAATATTCATGAGCATACAATAAAAGAAAGAAAACCTGTCGTTTCATTCCAGGGCTTTTAACCAGGCTTGCATTGGGGCTCATAGAACAGCAAATATGCCATTTTCAGCACAATCACTGTTACACACCCTATTAAGAGACCTTAAGGACCTGCACCAAATACCCTATATAATCATTCTATGACACCTTTAATTTAAAATAAAACTGGTATACCTGTTTTGAACCTTTTTTTAAAGAAAAAATAAAGTCTAAAACAATATATATTTTTATACATCATCTAACTTTTGAATTAGTGCTGATGCTGCTTATCTTTGGCAGGTGTTTGATGGCAGCGGCTCTTTCCTCTCCTACATCAACACGTTGGCTGACCCGCTCTACGGCCCGCAGGGATTGGCCCTCACCTCTGATGGACACGTTGTGGTAGCAGATTCTGGCAACCATTGTTTCAAAGTCTACCGCTATCTGCAGTAGCTGACCTTTTTGCTTTTAGGGACATGCCTACACCTCTTGGCCTGGGAAGACCAGGAGAACTGGAACTCAAACTCATTCATTCATTCATTCCTTCCACTGTGCCATCCGTTAGAATTTTCTCCTGATTTTGAAGAAACAACTGCTCATACAGTTCTGCTGCTGGTTGGTGCTACGAAGAGTCGATCACAATCGTGTTTATGTTCCATTTGGAGTGTTGACATGAAAGGTGAAGCTTTAGTAGTGATAAACCTGTGATATCACAAAAAAAAAAATCGCTGCACTGGTTAAAATCACGCACTTAAGTGACTTAACTATAGTTTAGGTACCTGACAAAATAACATATTTAAAAACTATTAGTGCAGTTTTCTGTTTAAAAAGCCCTTAAGCCAACTCACAATTTGCCTGTTCACAGAGTATGCTGTAGGATTGTTTGGAGCATGATTACGCATTGCTGTGCATGTTGTTTTTAAAAAACATCTTTAATACTAAAATGCAGTTTATTTTGAAAATACAGGATTTAATATCACCACTATAACATTTTAAATGGCTGCACAGTTTCAGTACACTGAATGGGTAATGGTCTATGTTTTAGGTAGACACAGATCTGAGAAACTTTGGCCATATAATGTGAACTTTAATATAGGGCAACAAGTGACAAGGTTATACGTTAATATTTGAATAAAATATTTTAAATCATAGTTTGTCTCAGTTTTTGTTATGATTCCTGTTGAGTACTAATGGCCAAAAGTCCCACAATCCAAGTATAATTAATCTAATAAAATGTTAAACAATATCTATATTAACTAAATTTCAAAGATTTATACATTTGTAAATCAAGTAAAATATGTTAGAATAAAGCCCTTTGTGAATTATTACTGTCAATGTTGCGCATACCACAAATTAAACTGCATGATATGCTGCAACAGGATTGTGGATTAACTAAATTGTTGAAACGACTACAGATAATTCTTATTTAATGAAGTTGACCATTTTTTTTGTATGATGAAAAAAATCTACAGTTATTAAAGTGTGGCATCTTTTGAAACCCTACAATTATTTTATTGTACACTGATGCACCTTGTTGGACTTCATACCTCCCCTCAGCCTCTGAATGCTTATCCTACATTGCACGGCCACCTCAGTCAGTTTTTTTTTTTTCTTATTTAATTCATGGTTTATTAAACACGTGTGTTCATGTTTTTTATTGTGGCACATTTGGATCTCCATACACATCTGCTGTACATGTCTACATTGTAGGCCCATGTCCCAGATATGCAAGATTCATCTTCTATCCTACACAAAAATTACTTTGATTTCCCCCCACTGGTCTCAGAACTGCTAAACCGATAGCCCTCACTCCTTCCAATGAGATCTTGTCTTTTCCACATGTGTCTGATTGATGGTGACCTTGTAGATTTGGAAGATGTTATTTTGTGCATAAGCATTTGGTGTACATGTTGTAAAATACAATCCTGTTTAAAGCCTTCATCATAAACAGTCTTTAAGCACACAATTATTAGTATTCGTCTTCCCGAGTTTGGTCAAGTTTTTACACAATCCTGTAAAATTCTTTGTCTTGTACATATTTGTATTGCAAAATTGAATTAAAGTGCCAAAGATGACAAAACGTATTTCCAAGAGGGAGAGTCATAGTGTGGTGATGCGTTTTTTTTTTTTAATGTTTTTTTTGTGCAAAAATTAAGCACATTTTAAGAAAACATAATGCAAATGGATTATATACAGGTCCTTCTGTGTATAATATTGTGATAAAGCTAATTTTCCATAATGTAATGATAAAACTTGAACATTTCAGGTCTTTTATTGTCTTAATACGGATGATTTTGGCATACAGCTCACCAAAACTCAAAATTCCTATCTCATAAATTTAGCATATTTCATCCAACCAATAAAAGAAAATTGTTCTTGATACAAAAGTCAACCTTCAAATAATTATGTACAGTTATGCACTCAATACTTGGTCGGGAATCCTTTTGCAGAAATGACTGCTTCACTGCGGCGTGGCATGGAGGCAATCAGCCTGTGTTGCTGCTGAGGTGTTATGGAGGCCCAGGATGCTTCGATTGCGGCCTTTAGCTCATCCAGAGTGTTGGGTCTTGCGTTTCTCAACTTTCTCTTCACAATGTCCCACATGGGGTTCAGGTCAGGAGAGTTGGCAGGCCAATTGACCCCAGTGATACCATCGTTAGTAAACCATTTACCAGTGGTTTTGGCACTGTGAGCAGGTGTCAGGTTGTGCTGAAAAATGAAATCATCTCCATAAACCTTTTCAGCAGATGGAAGCATGAAGTGCTCCAAAATCTCCCGATAGCTGCATTGACCCTGCCCTTGATAAAACACAGTGGACCAACACCAGCAGCTGACATGGCACCCTAGACCATCACTGACTGTAGGTACTTGAGACTGGACTTCTGGCATTTCCTTCTCCCCAGTCTTCCTCCAGACTCTGGCACCTTGATTTCCAAATGACATGCAAAACTGAACAACAGTCCAGTGCTGCTTCTCTGTAGGTCAGGTCTCTGCCGCTTTTTCTGGTTCAAAAGTGGCTTGACCTGGGGAATGCAGCACCTGTAGCCCATTTCCTGTGCACGGTGGCTCTGGATGTTTCTACTCCAGATTCAGTCCACTGCTTCCGCAGGTCCCCCAAGGTCTAGAATCGGCCCTTCACCACAATCTTCCTCAGGGTCCGGTCTCCTCTTCTCGTTGTGCAGCAGTTTTCAGCCTCACATTTTCCTTCCCACTGAGGTGCCTTGATACAGCACTCTGGGAAACAGCCTATTCGTTCAGAAATATCTTTCTGTGTCATACCCTCTTGCTTGAGGGTGTCAGCGATGACCTTCTGGACAGCAGTCAGGTCTGCAGTCTTACCCATGATTGGGGTTTTGAGTGATGACCCAGGCTGGGAGTTTTAAAGGCCCCGGGAATCTTTTTCAGGTGTTTAGAGTTAATTTGTTGATTCAGATGATTAGGTGCATAGCTCCTTTAGAGACCTTTTCATGATATGCTAATTTTGTGAGATTTCATGAGCTTAATGCCAAAATCATTATTACTAACACAGTAAAAGGCCTGAAATATTTCAGTTAGTGTGCAATGAATCTAAAATACATGAATGTTCAAGTTTTATCATTACATTATGGAAAATAATGAACTTTATCACAATATGCTAATATTTTGAGGACCTGTATTATACTGTTGCTAATTGGAAACAGCAGATGGCAGCAGCAGGTCGGATAACAAATGTGATGCCTTTAAAGATGATCAGGAATAAAAACAACGTAAGTGGATTTTTTATTTATATCTTATTAGTTTTAATTTCAAGAAGGCTATGGTCTGTTGCTTTCTATTTTTGTTCTATTTATTTTTTCAATATACATGACAATTTAGTATTGATATGTGTATTCGAAGAATTTGGGGAATTTACGAGGAGACTTGAATGCAGCAAACACCATTGATCCGCGGGAAATTCAGTACCTGAAACGACACATCTGTTTGGAATATTTGGATATACTAAACACGACCTTTTGAGGTTTAATAGCGCCACAAGCTTCTCTCCGAGTGGTGCTTGTCAAATACTGTCTGAAAATGGTAAGTTATTTTTTTTTTTTAGGAAGAAATTCGTGCTCTACGGTCAAGTTCCCTACGTAACTTGGTTAGTGTAGAATAATGTCAGAGCTGGTTCGTTAACTTTCCTACTATTTACCAAACAAAAACACTGGAAATGCTACTTTCACAAAGCTAAGCAGCGGTGAGTTATCGCTCTTTATGTGGCTACGTTGAAAATTAAAGTAACCGTTTAGGTTTTAGACAGAAAAGGCTTGACGCTATATTCGTGTCATCAGCCCTTCCGCTATGGTGCGTTAACCCGTCCACCATGTTGTGAGGGGCAAATGTTTAAGGGGCACATGAAAATCTGACATCTCAAGATAAGTTGTTCTACAGTAGTATGTATTCAATTCAATTTATTTATATAGCGCCAATTCACAGCACATGTCATCTCAAGGCAGTTTACAGTTCACCAGATCATACAGTCAAATTGATTCAAAGTTTTCTATCTAAGTAAAAGCAGTTGATTGCATCGACTCATTAGCTACGTTTACATGCGCAAAATTTCCCCGATCCGATCCAAACCTTGGTTGATCGGAAATTCAAAATCTCCGTTTACATGGACACTAAATGAAATGATCCGATCATGACGTGTGTATACATGTACCAAGCGTTGGATCAGATTAAGTCTTTTAAGCATGCGCAGAACTTCCTGCCAAACTTGGCAGTTCTGTCTGCGTCTGGTTTTTGGGAGGCCTGACAAACGATGCGCTCGGAGCGAGCGGAAAGAAAAAAGGAGAGAGGAGGAAAAAAGCGCTTGGCAGCGAAATGTACGAGAGAAAATGTAGAGAATGAGCGATTGAACCGGCGTGGGAGAGCGAGTGGGCTGTGGAGAGAGAAAAGAGGAAGAGGAGGAGGATAAATTCCTGCTTCCTGCAGCTTTAAATTAACTTATAAGTCGGCGTTCCTAGACTCCCCCCGCCATGTTGTTCACAGCGAGAGAGACCGGTGATTTCCTGTTGTTGACAAGGCGGAAAACGTCACTCTGACGTCGCACACATGCGCAGTGAAGATTATTTTACTCTTTAGATCCGAATGGGTGTTTACATGGACGCCAATCGGAATGGCGATCGGCAAAAACCACCTCTCTCATTCGGAATTAAATTTAGATCCGATCGGACCGAATCGGATTAGAATCTTCAGTCTGACATGTTTACATGAAACATTTTTGATCTGATCAGGCCTTCAATCCGATTAGTTGTGTCCATGTAAACGTAGCCACTAAGCATGCTTGTAGCAAGAGTGGAGAGGGAAAAACTGCCCTTTAACAGGAAGAAACCTTCCGCAGAACCAGGCCCAGTGTGAGCATCCATCTGCAGAGGTCAGATGGGGTTCAAGGAGACAGAAGCAGAGATACAAAAAGCAGCTGTAAAAGGAAACACACAGCCAGGCAGATAAGCCAACTCCCATGTCAGAGGATGAAGAGCATCCATCCATCCAGTCACAGTCAGAGAAACAGGACTACACTGGAAAAACTTAGCAATGAGAAACACTTTTGTTGTTTTCAAAACAACATAAAATACTTAACCTTTGTCAGATGTGTCTTTTTATTAGACTTTTTAAGTAACATCGTCCCCATTTCCTTGTTTTATTTATATATTATTTTCTTTAATGACTTCCCAGAAGCTAGGAATCTCTCCTTTACAGTGTTAAAATGAAATTTTTTTTCATTTTAGCTTATTTAGTAGGCATCAGGGCTGTTACCAGGATTTTTGAAATACCGAGGTCAAATATTGTGATAAATCTTACTTGACAAAAAACATCCTGATAAGGTGACATTTTAAAATATATTTTGGAAACGTAGAGTTAAATCACAAGCCCATCAAGGAGGTGAATATGAACATGTTTATAACAATTCCAAAACTCACAAAATTAGAGTGTGCGTATTATTATTATGATTATGATGATGATCATCATTATTATACTATATTATTGTTTTTATTAATATTGAATTGTTGTTACTAATATAATTGTCAGTATCATCACCATGCATGTGCATGGCCCACTAAATGAATCCAACCACTTACAATAATATATCATCGTGGACTATTTTTTTTTAAACAAATGAGAATGCATGCTGATCTTTACACTAATCAAAGTCAGAACAATTTTCATCACATAGTTTGGCATTTCTCTTATAATAATGATAATAAAAACGGAAAAATACTAAGGACATGACCTCGGTGTTCTCAATGCTGGTTACGGGGCTGGTAGGGATTCATCGCTTACGATTTATTCTTTAAATCCATTTTTCTTTGAAGCCTCTACTATGTGTGTCCATTTATGTTCCGCTAAGTATTTATATTTTAGGAATTTTCTAAGCTTTTTGTCGAAAACAATTGTTTGCTTTTCTTTGGTTAAAGTTTTCAGGTGCTATAAATAGTAAAGCAACAGGCTGTACTGCTGTCTGTTGTTTATAACCATTGTGGGGGGGGGGTTCTGTCAATGACGTGATTCTATTGAAGTAATCATAGTTTAAAAAGCTATTTGTTGAATGCAGATCTGGTGCTTAATGGTTTTTGTTGTTGTTTTGTGATCAACATGGGACTCTGTCTGCAGTCCAAGAAGAAGGGACTCAGTTTGGAGGAGAAGAGGACTCGTATGATGGAGATTTTCTTTGAATCTGTAAGTTTTTTAACTACAGATAAAAAAAAAATAACTGTTTCATAGATTCCTGTATTGTTCTGCTGTCTTGTTCTGATATTCCTCTCTAGCTGACACACAATGAGGTAGAGATTCAATCTCTCCACACCCTGAAAATATGTCATGTTTATAGTGAGAACAAATTAATCAATGCAGGTGTGTCTAAAAAGGGTTTTGTTCTTACGTGTCCTAGGGAGTGTGGTTGTTTTAGTAGTCTCTTAAATATTTAACCTAGAGTTTATTAAACCCTAAAATGATATTTTTGTTTTTTTATCGGCTTTGCAGACATCTGTCTCCACAGGTGGCAGAACTCTGATAGAAAACCTGTTCCGGTTAAAAGAAAGATGATGATGATATTCTGCCAATCCAAATTCAAGGGCATAATGATTTTTACAATTACACACCAGAAGTCAGGCTTCAAAATCCTAGTCTGTTAAACCCACTGACCTTAGAGTGATGGAAGTCCTCTAAAGCTGCTGTCCTGCAATATTTTCTTGTATCCAGGATGCACTTAGATATTGAAACTCCCAAGGACTGCTTTGCAAATCAGCACTGCTATAGCAAGTAAGGCTAATCAAATTCCATTGCAAAGGAAAGAATTTGAAGTTCATTTGGGGCCTATTAAGGAGCAATAAGTGAATTTTACCACTAGATGTGCTGTTGAGCTGTCTGTAAAGCAAAACAACACTACATTTTATTACAACTTTCTATCAAACTTGATGGCAAGAAACAAGAGGTCATTTTGTTATACTAATTAATAGGGCTGCACCTACCGATTATTTTGATAATTGATTAATCCGTCCATTGTTTTTCCGATTCTTCAATTAATAATCGGATAGCGAATGGTAACTTAAAGATTTTATACAGAATTAAACTAGTTGAAACTAAAAAAATGTTGACTAGAGTTCTGAATAGAGCATATTGACAGGAGAAGCATTTAATCATAAACGCAAAATATCTGTTTTTTTGTCACAATTTTAAATTAGTTACTGCTATGAGAGGATCACTCTGTCAGCTAAAAACATGTTTTAGAATCTCTGTACTATTATCATTAATTGATTACTGGGTTAGTTCACGATTATTTCAATAATTAGTCACAATTAATCTGATTGTTTATGCCCTACTAAATAATGATATCAATATGTTCGATTCCCTCTGTGAAATTCAGACTAAATACACATTATGTTGCTGCATTAATATATTTTTGTATTTATTTTGACATACAATAAGATCTATTGTTTCCCTTGCGTCATCATTTTGATTTACAATAAAAGGGAAAACACTAAAGTTGTTGTTGGTGTAAAGACAGTGTAACTACACAGAGATACTTACGGGGTTATGATATAGATTGGAATACAAAGTCTAAAAATTGAAGCCCCAGTTATGGGTTCCAATGTTAGATTATTGGTGAAAAAAGAATGACCTAAATGTATGTTGGGAGCTCGCAGGCCCGCCAGGCTGCTTTAAACAAAACTGTTTTAGCTGGGCTGCCGGCTACTCGCCTCACGACATAAGGCGAGTAGCCGGCATCGGGTCCGTTGCTGGTCAAACTTAACAATTAACCCACATGCCATTTAATTGGATCAAATCAACAAAGTGCAACTATTCTAACAAGACTGCTAAACCAAGGAAATACATCAATTTTACCTCATGCTGTTATTCACCAGTCCAGGAGGATAAAAACTAGCTTTGAGTTGAACTGGAGCTACTTCTGCTCTTGAAGCTCCCTCTAACTTGGAAACATAAAGCTAATATTAATCCTTGTTCTGTCCCTTATCCGACATATTCTTTATTCAACACTGTTGTTTTGTAGCAATAAGTCCTGATTGTCTTCAGATTACTTTTTTGGTCTGTTTAGACTTAGACAACTTTTATTGTCATTTTGCATACACAGTGTTTCATTTGTACAGCTTTCAGACAGTAAATAAGCAGCAGCTTAGCAGTGAAACTGTTGCTCCTATGCTACTCTGACGAGCCCTAATTTTCAGCTATTTTCATGCATACGCTCTAGGGGTGGGTATTGCCAAAGAAGTCACGATTCAATTCGAATCACGATTCACAGGCCACAATGCGATTCTATCACGATACATCATGATACTTGAATTATTGCGATGCATTGCAATATTTTCTCCTCCATTTTTTGTTTTTGAATGACACGGCACAGTATCCCGCGGCCGGAAATGCTTGTGACACAAGGCAGCGTGCGTCAGCACATTTGCAGCGACATCTACTGGACTGGAAGTTGTATTACACTTGTTTTTGGCTGATGTTCGCCAACCATTCATGCAATTTTATTTATTCATTTTTTAAAATTAATAATCGATACTTGGTGTCAAGAATCGATGCAGTAGATCACGAAAATTAGAATCACGTTGCATTATCATGACGATTATTTTGCACACCCCTGATACGCTCTCACAGCTGGTCCGGCTATGTAAACAAAAGACTGGGGAACAACCGAGATGATGTGAGACATCTTACTATTGTCCATCTAAACAGATTCCTTTAATGCTTCACAAAACATTTTTAGTTCTTTTTATCAAATGTAATGAAATTTAGCTTATTGCTTCTTTTAAGGTTTTTATTTTCACTTTCATATTTAAGTTAAAACACATGATTTTCAGCAATGAAGACCATCTAAAATTATCTTAGTTTTTGCACAAATTCTACTGATTTGATCAATATTTCTCAGATTTAAATTTTCAGCTCTTTTTGAAAATAATCCAAATATTTCCCTCTGCTGAGAGTCAGTGGTTTTAGTTCGGCACAGGTTTATTTTTGTTCGTCTTACCCACCTGTGATTGATGAAATGCTAATGAAAGACAGGAAGTGACTGTGTTGTCTTCTGCTGTCATCACTTCCTGGTGCAACTCTGATTTTTAGGTTCAGCCTAATTGACTAGCATTTTATTTTAGATTTTTATCTGGTAAACTTTATTTAAATGATACATTTACTGTGGCATTTCTAATATATATGATTCTTCGTTTTTTTTTGTTTTTTTTTGAATAACTTAGATCTTATATATGGACAGGGTTTTATATATAATTTGTGAATCCAATAAGAATGATGCTGTGGTCTTAACAAAAATCTAATCCAAAGGAAAAGTTTTCAAACATAATCCCTTAATTATACATATAACAATTATATGTAAATAAATGTAATATTTGCATGTTAAATTTGCTGTTTTTTTTCTGGTTTGTCTGAATTAAAGTTATATATTTTTTCATTTATGTTTGCTGAAAGCATAGAATTGCATGGTAATAAGAAATGTAAATGTCTCCACCTGGGTATAAATATGAAAAGAAAACAATTATATTTTCATACTAGCTAAATACAAGCTGAGGCACGTGTAGATGGGGGAGAAATGTTTTCCGTTTTTGACCATGTTTTTTTGACTCTTTCTAGAAAGACGTGTTCCAGCTTAAAGACATTGAGAAGATCGCCCCCAAGTCAAAAGGCATTGGTGAGTAATGATCAACAGCTCAAAGAATAAAAGTAATTTCCATTCATTTCAAGGCAAATTATTAGCTGTCAGTGTTGCCTTATTATTAGCAATCCATAAGATTTAAAGGTGCACTAATACAGGTACAGAGGAGAACAAAGACTGATGGTAATAAGATATCTTACAAATTGTGTGAATTCGTTGAAGGGATTTCACATTCTTTGCACAGGCCTTGCACTTGCTGAGACATGCAAGCAGTTTATTGCTCCCCAGTTAAGCAGGTTGGGACAAGGAAGCGGTTTGTGCTCTGCGATGTTCACCTTTGCAGAGCCCTGAAGAGGTGACCTGATGCCACAGCTCCAAATGTCCAAGTATTGACAATGATCCCTTTGAGACTTTAAAAATATCTCTCTTTCAGTACATTACAGTACTAGCACAAAGATCTCCAGAAAATATGTTTTCATTGAATAAGATACTGATTAATCTGTGTATCCTCTTCAGTTGGAAATGGTGGGATAAATTTAGGTGCAGCTGATTTAGGAGATGGCGTCACACACCAGTGGAAAACTGAAGGAGAACAGAGAATTAACAGCTGCAGAATTTATTACAAATGTTAGAGTAAACATGGTTATCGTCCAGATTACTGTCCCTTTTCATTCATCTGTTCTTAGAACACCAGATGTTAAAAAAAAAAAAAAACTTGATTTGCTAGTTATTTAGCCTAGCTTTGAAACAAATAAAAAAAAAAATCTTGACTTCTACTTAACAAAAACAGTTTTAACTTAACATCAAATCATAAAATCCCTGGGCGACTCTGTTCCAGGACTCTCTTTCACATCTTATTTAGCTAAACTATAAAGTTTTGGGACCATATGAAAAAAAAAAGCTTTTGAAGCCAGTGATAGGCCATGTTATTTAGGTCATGTTATTTAAAAACACGGCCTACGCAGGTCTGGATGCTCTTTTTCTGTCATGATGGGGTGGTGGATTAAAGTTTTCTACTGCAGACTTTCTGTTTGAATGATTTGGGAACTCTGACCACATATTTCATCAAGTCATGTAGTAATATTTCTTTTCTCCTGTTCCACCTGAATCTCAATCAGTAACTTTCTCAATTCAGCTTGCAGAAGACGCTCTTTTTCTGATTTCCTCATTTGTTTAAATTATTTCTTTGTTTTTTACACTGGGAGGCATTTCATATAAACTTTAACAATCTAGACATGACAAGAATATCAGTGGCCCCTGTTTGTCATCTTCTCTGCAGTTCATTGTAAACAGCTATGATGCAGCTGTGATAAATGTCACATGTATGCTTCAGCAGTACTACCACAGCTTAGCTTCAGAACTTAATGGTGTGTTATTCTGTTTATCCACCATGTTTTGTTTCTATCCAGAGGCCTCTACCATGTAGCATGATTACTGGTTTAGTGAGGAAACTTTAAGTTTAACCTTGACATGGTAACATACTCTGATTGGCAAACCTGCTCCGGCCTAGCAGGCTAGCTTTCAGGATTGATCTGAATCCCAGAAAACGCTTCACCTAGTAGTCAATCAGCTGTTCAGGAAACAATGATGTGTCCTTTCATTGAATACCCGATTTATTTCAAAGGGAAAAATAACTTAAACAAAACAACATCACAATAATCGAACATGCAAACCATAAAGCAGTTGAAACAAAATATGTTCCTGACAAATTAAACAAAAGTTTTCAATGTATTTACTCTTTCGTTTTTCCTTCTTTTTGACCTGAAAAACAAAAGAGTGGGAAAAAATCAAATAAAATCATCCCCACTTTTCCTACTTACCAACTCCCATCCAGCTCTTGGAGGCGCTACTAGGAAAACGAAAGTTCTGCCCAGACGATGTCGAGCACGAGCAGAAAGAACCTCCAGTGCGGTGCTTCCAGGACAAAGATCACATAATTTTGTTCTCGTGGCTATGAGAGGTGGAAAAAAAGAAGCCCTCAACTCTCATGGAGTATGTAAAGTTTTCAGATATGGGGTGAGGAGCTCTGTCATCTAGGGGAAACTCGGGGCTTATTAACACTGCACTTCAGGGATAGGCAAAGTGAGAAACTCACACCCTCATTGAGTCCAGTTTGCTTTCACACATAGATCTTTAGACCAAAGCAGGATATAGTTGCCAAGGTTTGTTAGGAATCTATTTGACAGGATCAAAAGCAGATCATCAAACCCTTCCCACCATCCTATTCTCAAAAATCACAATGGAACAACTCATTTAGATTATGAAGGCACTATGCCATGACCACTCCCCCCTCTTTATTTCTGCTTTTCTTCGTTTGAGCTTTTCTTATAAATCGTGCTGCTCTTATGTCATATCCTCTCTTGCTGCTTTCGGTTGGCTGGAACCCGACCAGGATAAACAATGCTAGCAAACTGCACAAGGTTTTGAATGAGTTCAATCAGTTATAATCGTGTGAGGGTCCATTTCAGAGTCTGGGTTTGGTTAAAACCACAGTTTGTTGGCACAGTTTGCCAGCAAAGCTCTGTCGGAGTAAAGCAGCTGCTCTGTGGTGTAGAAAGTAGTGCTCTGGATCTGATCAGGCTGTCTCATTAATAATGCCTTGTTTTTGGAAGTTTTTTTTCATTCCCTACTAGGAGATCATTGGGCACAACCAGAACCCTAAAATCTAGAAACCTAAACCCCTTCTGGTTGAGAACACACTTTCTGGGGTATTTTTTCTGAACCCGTTGGCATCTAAACCAGAAGAAGTGACAGATTTTAATGAATTAGACCCGAAAGGATTTTATTTGCACTTTTAATACTGAAAATGCGGTATGGGCAAAAAAGTCTGATGCATCAAAGTTCCTTTAGTTACAGTGTCAGAGAGCTGTGTTGCTTCACACCCATGGCGGTGATGCCATGACAACTGGGATTTGCTTTTGCTATCTGACCTTTTTTTTTAAAAATCTCTAAGCAGAATTTGGCATTTCTACAGAAGTGAGAGAATTGTTAGAAGCATATAGCTCTAAAGTCAAGCGAATGTTCTCACCCTGCTGTTAGACATTGTATACAAAGTTTAATAAAAGATAAATTCAAGCTTACTTTGCTCCCCTAAGGAAAATGCACTGTGTGTGAGTGAACGAAGAAGGGGATGTTATAAGTGGACAAAACATTCATCAGGAGGAATTGAATGCTGCTCTGATTAAAAGCACATGGTTCTGACCCGAACTGAGGCGTAATGTAGTTAGAGTGCAGGGGGGAGGGGCCACCTGGAGAACTGCACTGTGAGCGTTTTCCTAAGCAAGGAGAGATATTATAAGAACAGAACAATGTATCTTAACATATTGGCCAACATAGTAAAAAACTGTTTTTTTTGTGTGTGTTTTTTTTCCCAGTTTGCACGTCCAACTAATAGTCATGTTTTTTTTTTTTCCCCATTTCATTTTCATCGCCCGTCTTGTTTAACCTCCTTTCATCAGATGAACTTTTCTCAGGTTGAAAGTGGACTAGTTGAGCAAACTGAGTATCACATTTCACCACTAAAATCTTTATGATGTGACTTCTTTTTTTTTTTTTACATCTGTTAACGCAGCAGGCTTTTTAAAACCAGTATTAACAGGCAGCTCATCTCCAGGTGTGTGTTTTTTAGAAAGTTTATGAGTTAATCCTGCAGACATCTGCAGAAATAAGACCAGATGGTGATTTGTTTTTTTTTCCCTTCAGATTAGCCTTTTCTAAGTCTATACAGCTTGTAGCCCCTTAGAGAAGCTTTGCTCCAGTGGTTCATTTAAGGATTATTGTCCTCCAACCTCTATGCTTTTAGCTCCAATGACTGTGAAGGAAGTGCTGCAAAGCCTGGTAGATGACAACATGGTGGACTGTGAGCGAGTCGGCACATCCAACTACTACTGGGCTTTTCCAAGTAAGGCCTTACATGCTCGCAAGCACAAACTGGAGGAGCTGCAGAAACAGGTGAGCGTGGAGAGTTTTGGTGGTTTAATGGTGGAATAATTATCCGCATCAGACTGCAACAACTCTGCTTTAATGGTTAATAGGTGCATATTAGACATTACCCTGAAATAAACTTGCAACCATCTGTTATTATTTCTGCCTGGCACATTTCCCGAGACAGCAGCAGGCCTTTTATGTCTTTGTCTTACTGTAAGTTACAAACTGTAGTTTACAGTAAAGAGGTCGGTTTGCATAAAAATAGCCTAGAAGGAACTGGTGAGAAAAGCCCAAAAAGTAGACCGCAGCAAAATTCTAAATAGATTTATTGTTGTGGTTTGAAATGTCAAAAACAAAGTCAGGTTTCAGACGAATTGTTTTTTTTTATATTAGAACATCCAAGTCAATATATCACTTATTTTAAAATGGGTTTGAACTGCTTTTCTCTCTTATTGTAGTGAATAAATTAAATAAAATTTTTTGCCATTTGCATGTTTGTTATTGTGACATAAAAGTGTTTTTCTTCGAAGCCCTCGTGGTCTGTGATGACCCACATCCCTTTGCATATGTTGTAATGTCTGCAACTTAGAGAATGTCTGCCGCCATGTTTTGGGTGCAGGTATTCAGTGCATGAAAACGTCTGGTTTCTCTCAGAATCTAAAGTTCCTGCACCTGAAGTGGTTATGACGTGACTGTTTCCTGCAGCGTTGCCATGCAGTAACAGTATTTGAATTGCTTCATGTTGTATTAGCAAGTTGAATCCTTGCTGAGTTTTTTTCTTTATTTGTTTTGTTGGATTCAGAGCTTTGGCATTTTTTTTTCTAGATAACAAGATGAGCTTCTTCTCAGCATTTGTTGATATACATAACTGTCCTGAGTAGTTAACACATACCGTAATAAAAACTATTTTAAAATGTTTCAAAATACGGAAATTTGACACTATTGTAATTATGTGCACAGAACTAGTCATGAAAATGTTGGAACGTTTTAATTTTTTTTATTTTTATTTTTTCCAGGTTTCTGATGCTAAGCAGCGAAAAGTGTCTCTTGAGGAAGCGGCTGAAAAGGCAAAAGTGGGACGTGAAGATACAGTAAGAGACCACATTCATGTGATAGAAATCCACACATTAATGGTGTTTGCTGAAGCAGAATCTGTCCCACAGGCAGCTTACGCGTGTGTCTGTTTGTAGAAAGAAAGAAGTTCTCTGCTGAAGGAGCTGCAGTCTCTGAGAGACGAGCAAAAGCAGCTGCAGGCCGAGCTTGAGAAATACCGAGAATGTGACCCTGAGGTCATCCAAGAAATTAGTGAGTATAGAACAGTTTGCTATTAGTTTAAAAAAACCTTTGGTTTTTTTTTCTAATATTTTGATAGTCTGATGTCTTCGGTCATGTTGGTTAATCTAATTTTTTCGTTATGACTATATTATCTGAACAATAATTCCCAGCTGAGGAAAAACTGCCACAATACGGATACTGTTAGCTTTACCAATATGCAAACTAATTTTATTTATCAACACTTCATCCTATAGCATTCCCTCACACCTTTCTTTCTATTAAAAGTCAAACCTCAAAGCTAAGCAGGTTAGATACTAAGAAAAGCAATAAGGTGGGAGCAGAGCAGAGTTTTCTATTGGAAATGAGGCTTAACTTGGTAATAAGGTGTACACTGGGTTTTATGGGGGCTCTAATTGAACCAAATCGGTTCTGAAGGTGTAATTCTGCTTTATCTAATTATATAAATGGCTCGCTTTATATAAATGGTTCTTACCAACTTCCTCAGAGCGTTTGGGACTTCATGCTGCTTTTTGTTTGTTTAGCTCTGCTGTGTTACAAGGAGCGAGTTTCTTCATGTACCCGTGTGACACGTGTGGTGTAATAAAACTATCTGGCCTGTTTACTTAAACCTCCTAATGTTGCACCAGCTCTGCATTATGTTTTCACTCAGTCCACCTGTTCTTTTCCACCCCAGCTTCTCTGCATCCGTACAAACGGAAATGAGGACAACGAAACAATCAGAGCAGCAGGGTTTTCTAAGCCCGTGTCCGTTGGTGGTTTTATTTTATGTCCAATCCTCTGATTCCAGTGTCTTTCGAGTTTACGTACGGCCCTGATCTTTGGGGTTTTTAATAGACTCAAAAAATTGCATTGAAATTCTTGATTTTTAGAATAATGACTAGAAGAAATAAGTGTAATCCTCTAATCGCAAGATTTCACTGATTTTTTACTATTTGGAATAGAAATATTTTATTCTTTGTAATTTATAAACTTCTTCGTAAATTATAAAACATCCTACATTTTAGTGGACTAATTGCATTAAAAAGAGATGTTTAACATTTAAAAACGGTTTTAAATCTTTATAACCTTTCGTTTTACTGATGACCTAAACATCCCCACAATCCTTTTAAGGTCTAAAGCATTTCAGCAAGTAAAAGTTGCATTTGTTATTGTATAGCAACTATTGTTTATGTGCATGAACCACTTTGGGGAAACCATTGGTAATGAAACAGAATATCTATGCATGGTTTTTTTAATGCTCCCACATACACCAGCTGTAAACCGAGCCCAAACTATCAGTCCTCCTCTACCGTGCTTCAGTTTGAAGTATGAAATAAGGAGTTTGCACCGATGGGTAATGCTTTTCTGAATGCATGTGAAATAACCATAAAGAAGGGGAATTTGCTCTGCTAAAATCATATCTTGCATGTGTCCTTGAGTGCCATAGACAGGTGAGCCAGCAGACACTTATTTCCATGCCTTTTCTTTAGCCTTAGAATTCCCACTTATGTGATCAGAGATTTGTAGAGATGCACCAGTTAGTTAGCAAGAGATCTAAATATATTTGTATTAATTCAGCATTGATGGTCCAGCAGCAACTAAAATACTCTTATCTTTTTTTAATATGTAGCAATTATGTTAGAATCGTTGGAAAATAAACCCAGAATTGGTCAAAGGTGGATTCGGCAGGTCAGACCTCAAAGGAAATTGGAGGGAAAATAAGGTATTTTACTTTCACTATAATGGTACAACTTCAGCTCATCCTGAAAGTCCACATTTAACTTGATGTCATGATAAATACACACCCCACGTTCAAATATCAAACATAAACAGTTTGTTGCTGAGGGTTATATCTGCTGAGTGCATTTTCACTCATCCGTCTCCCCACGCCTACAGGCCTGATTGCCCTCCTCTTTTTCTAACACACACACAATCACGTTTTTCTATCCTTCTATTGACATCCATTTATTTCTAACCCCAGCCTAACCATGACCCTTATCCTACACCTAACCTTTATTGGTTCATACCTAACCCTAATCCTGACCTAAACTCAATTCACACCTTAGTCCTAAACCTAACACCTAAGCTTAAAATGGCATTTGTACATGACTTGACATTGGTCCCCAGTAGGGCACACAGTCCCCACAATGTGCTAAGATTTATGGAAATGTTTTCAAACATGTAATAGACCCCCCAACACTCACACTCACACACAACACACACACACACACAAAGCTTTGTTACAGAGGGCCACCTCCAATCAGAAGACACCAGTGAGCAGCTGTGGTATCAAATGATGTTATGTCGCCTGCAAAGGGGACATAACAGCAGACCCGTAACTGCAAAAAAAAAAGAAAAGAAAGAACACTTTGACTGATACTCATTTTTAAGGAATATCTTCCTTCAAAAGATTAACCTACATGCATCAGTATTTAACTAAGCAAAGAAAAAGTCAAATAAAAACAACTTAAAAATACTTAAAAGATCCACGCAGCCACACCTGCATATACCTACACTATGTTGCGGTGACATGCAAGATTTTTGTCTGTGTCAACAGGAGAGAGTGGTGCCTTAACAGGTACTGTTCATATAAGCCTTCTGGAACTGGGATTAAAAAAACGTTTGTCAAGTTTCATTGTTGACATTGGCTCTAACACCCATAGTTACCAATAAACAATAGTAAGCTCACAGCCAGGTTGAACATCTCTAAAAAGCCTGAGAAATCACAGCAGCCTAGCTGTAGCTGTGTTTACTCACGATTTACAGTCATGGAAAGCATGGCATTTGATTTCTACCATGCTCCTATTCTGGATATGTAGGGAAAAAGAGAAGATGGGCTACAAGCATTGTTTGGATCTGTAGATTTATCAATGTTTAGAAAATGTTAATGCTTATTTACGTGTAGAATAAATTCTTTATCTTTAATTTTCTACGTCAAATTTAGTTGTTTTTTTTTTTCTACACTCTAAACCAACAGCTAATTAAGGAAATTTATTCTCTTTTCTTAGAGTGGGAGCTTACGGTAGACTCAACTGGTTGTCTTAAACTGGGTCTAAGGTGCATAACAAAATGTTAGCAATCTTGTTTTGTTTTATTTCTGTAGAATAAATGAAGGCTTCTCAGACTACATTGTTAAACCAGATGGATAGATCATTAACAAACGCTGGAAAAAATATAGGAATCTGATTCTAGGAAAGTATTTGTTTTGAAATGGTTTGTAGGAGCCATGACTGTATATGTTGTTATTATTTAAACTACATTGTTTGATTTATATTGTAATCTCTCATTACTTAAATTTTTAATAAACAGTTGTTTTATTTCTAAAACAAAGCTAATTGGACAAGATTAAAATATCCAAATATATTATCTGTTGATGTTATTCTATCAGGTGTCCCCTTTGGCTTTTCCTTGTAGGCTAAACGTGCACGAACTTATGTGAAATTTCCAGATCACTGCTTTAGATCTATAACTTTACTCCATAATGAACACGATTTTAATGGTTACTGGTCAACTGTCATTCAAATAAGATGTCTTTAGTCCCTCACTGTTTGCCAAACTTAACTATTAAATGAGCTCCAGACTTAAGTAACAGAGGATAAGTCTGTCCTTCTCAGGGTTCCTTATGATACAGTGAAGCATTATTATTTAGTTCAGCATCTTTTTAAGTCTTGTTTTTTCATAAACTCACTTGGATATGAAATATCTGCATCTGTGTTTCTCTCAGGGTGAAATTTAAACAATATGATGCAAATGATTGCAAAATGTGTCTTGCAGGAAAGTCAAACGTTGTTGCAAAAGAAGCTGTGTCCAGATGGACGGGTAAGTTCTTGATAATACAGATCTGCAAACAGAGAAATCCACTAACCCCCGGAAATAAATCTCATACTTGTTGATCTTGTGAATTTGTTTAGTGACTTGGTGTAAACTCTTAATTTCTTGGAACTGGCATTTTATTATCATCTGACTATAACCATGAAGTGGCACCATTAGAGCTAATATGAGATGTACTGGATTGGATCAGGTTCTGTGTAGCTGGATCCAAACTGAACACATGCTTACCTTTGTTGAGATAACATTTTTTGGGAATTTGTGCTTTATAATAAAGCTAAATTCAAATGCAGTTGAGTAAGAAGAAAATCATGCGTTAGGACTGCAGGAAAAGCTAAGATAGTCGGAGAGAACACACAATAAAAGCCAAACAACCCAGACAGACAAAATGTCTGAGTTGGTCAGAGGTCCACATTTTCAATAAATCTATTGCAAAGATCATATTTAGCTTGATGATTGACAAAAGTTGGGGTGCTGCAAATCCTATGAACTAAGAGTTGTTTGCGAAACAGAAATAGAAGCAGTCTATAGGCTCAAGAGGAGTTACTTAACGAGTAGCACTGCACAGGCAGACAATTATTTGGTATTAATGGTTTATTTTTTTTCTGTTAGACAACGTTTTCGCCATCAAGTCTTGGACAAAAAAGAAGTTTTCTTTCGACGACAGCCGCATCGACAAAGCCTTTGGCATCCCTGAGGACTTTGACTACATGGACTGATCAGAACATCCTACATTTGGGGGGTGTGGGGGGGAAAGAAGGCCACAGAAATGTTCTCTTTGTTTAAGCTTCGGTTTCCAGTTGTCTTCTTTTCAAGTTTCTGTTTTGAGCCCTGGATCTAAGGTCGATGCACACAGATTTGGATTGTTTTACCGCTTCAGGGGGGATCTTGGTGAGCTCACCAACATGGGTGGACTTTATCAGCAGAGACGCTGCTTAGGTGCAACTAGAGAAGAAACCAAGCATTAAGGAGTGGGGGTGGGTGGTGGGGGTTATCTGATAAACAGACTTCTTGGACACCTGTTTGGATGAAAACTGAGACAGCCAAGCTGATGACGGAAGCAAATCAACACTGGGTGCATCTGCATCTCTAATTGGGGCATTTATGTCTGGTATGTTTTCTCCCACACTTTCCATCTTTTCTTTTTTCAGTATAGAGCTGCCTCATCTGTAAAGCAGTTAAATGGATGCTTCAGGAAGAAGTTTAGGGGTAATGTTTGTAAATAATTACTACTTCAAAAGCATTAAAGTTATTTTTATTGCAGAAAATGTAGTTCTTGTAACAGTTATTACTGTTTTACTAAGTTTTTTTTTCTTTTCTTTTTTTTTTTTTTTTACACATCAGTCTTCTGCTTTATGTCTGTGCATACACACTCATTAAAGCATGTCTTTCACTGCAGCTGCACACTGACTTTCTGTATGTACAGAAAAGGGAACTCTGTTGTCTTAAAATGGACAAAATGACTGTTGCCCTGTTTCCTCTCTCCGCTTTCTGCTTAAACAAGTTCAAAATTAGGTATTTGGTTGTTCTGTGTTTACTCATCTGACCTAGTTGTACGTGTTGGTTGGCTAATTTAAATTTCAAATGTACCATTTGTGGGTGTCAGATCATCATATTGCTGCCTCAAGGTTTTTTTTAACCCCCGCCCCTTATCTTCTTGCGTTTCCTCTCAAGCAGAAATGTAATTTTTTTTAATTGGTCTAGGGGAGTGACTGTGTTGGTCTACAATTGCTTTGCAGAGCAACCTGGGTGTAACCCACCTGATAACAAGTGGGATAGGCTCTAGCTCCTTCAACTGATGTAGGATGTTTTTCTCTTTTTGTATTTGCAATCATACAACTTTAGATGTGCAGCACTGTCTTTAATGTGCAATGAACCACTAATATCAATGCAGCTCATAGGGGAAGTAAAAAAAAAGTTCCAGTTTTAAGAACGCTGACACACCCACATTTGTGAAAAGTTGCCTCATGCAGGTACCTACCTGCCCAACCTGTCCCAACCATGATTCATTCAGCTGACATGCTGCCTGTCAACACCTTCATTACAGCTGGTAGAGTGTCACTCTCTGGCTTTTGTAGAACATTTAGATTCAGCTTTTAATCTCTACCTTTGTTCCCTGAAGACTTCTATGGAAATTACACACCGACAAAAGGAATATTAATTTAATGCCATTATTCTTAAATAAGAATGTTCTTAAAATCAAGTCAGAAATAACCCAAGGATACTAGGCACATCATATACTCAAATTTTTGGTAATATGCTGTTGCAAATATATAAATGGATAAGTCATTTTGCCTCAAATGTGTCTAGTTCTCAGATGCTGCTTTGCATAAGAAGCAAATGAACTGCTGTCAAGTTCAGGGTCAGCCATCATCTGTACTCATCCAAAACCTTTGAAGTTTTATCTTACACAATAACCGTTAATAGCTACTGGGATAAACTATATATACTTCAGTGTATATAAATATGTTTTGGTGTGAAAGAAATTCTTGAAATTCCACTGAAAGATTTTGGAGAAAGTATAAAAGTGTGATGGATCCAAAATGCGCCTCATATTAGAAAGGCAGACGCCTTATTCTCTTAATTTTTTATGCAGTTTATGGTATTGCTGACTCAAAGGAGACTCCAAAGAGCACACATTGGAATTCTTTGGACCAGACCACAGCATCTTCAGAAAGGGGAATGCTCTTTACCACTCTTTCCACAGAAGAGGGGAATACACGGCTTGGAATAATGTCTCATAAGAATGGAGGAAAATAATTTTTGCTCAAGGGAAACAAGAAAAACCATTCATACCTCATCTTCCCCTGTTAAAGAATGGCCTTTAAGCTTTGACTGCTTCACACAAACATAATAGAGTTGAGTGTTTTATACCTTTTGCTCACAGAGAATTAATAAATCAGAGAACCTTCAGGTGTGTTCTCTTTATATGATCATGTTTATTATTTATTTGCTTTGTAGCGTAGCTGCTTGAATAACAAGCCAGTTAATTTATTTTCTATATTCTCAGTCTGTGGATGCTCAGTTTTATAATGCAGTGTTTTTTTTTTTCGTTTTTATAAGAAATTCAGTCTGATTTGTTTCATAAGAAGCGTCAGTTTCCAACTGGGATTTAAATCAAGTAATTGGGAATAAAAAGCTAAACATTTTCAGCTAACATTCAGTTAGTACATGTTTGAGATCTGGGCATTTCTTGTTTGTCGGAATTAAACTATAATTTGAGAACATGGCTATAAGTAGAAGCAGGAAGCAACACAATGGAAATGTACTGAATATGAATTAAAGATATGCTGTTGTGACCAAAGATGCCTCAATTCTCTCTTCACTTAAAGGTATAATGGAAGATTTTCACTAATTTTTGAAAAGAACCGCCTTCTCCACTCAAAAAAAAAAACAGATGCACAGCCCTGTACTCGATCCCGAGAGGAAACGCCTATCAAATGCGTGTGAGAGCATGCACGAGCCCATTTCAACCTCTAGTGAGAGTTACGTAAATATATCACCACAGTGATTGACAATTAGGAGGATTATTTTGGCTACGTTCACACTGCAGGCCTTGATGCTCAATTCCAATTTTTTTGCATTGCCGTTCACATTTCCCAATATATGCAACTTGTATGTGATCTCCTCTGTGAACTGCAGTCATATAACGCAATTTTCCTGCATGCGCAGTAGAGGACGCAATGACATCACAGGTCAGCGTGCTATGTTTACGGAAGTAAACATGGATGGTAGTTCCGGAGCGCATCTAGCGACCTTTCCCAACCATAAAAACTATCTTTTCAAGATGGTTAAACATAAATACTGCTCTCCGTATCATCGTCCGCCATTCTTGTTGTTTTTCTTGCCGCTTCTTCATAGCAAGACCCAGAATAGTGACCTTCGTCGGGTATTAATGGCGTTCAGGTCGGATGAATGCGACCTGGCCGTTCAGACACAGGTCGCATTTGAAAAGACCTGATTCATATCGGATTCAGAACCACATAGCCAAGTGGCCTGGGTCGCATTGGAAAAAATTGGATCTGTGTTGTTCAGACAGCCAAGAAAAGATCAGATACAGGTCGCATATGGGCCAAAAAATCGGATCCACCCGGAAAAAGACCATCCTTCACTATACCTTTATCCCCCATATAGGTTGAGGCAAATGTTCTGTCCGATAGTTCTGATTCTGTTGAGAGGAAGTCTTTCCCCTCCACTGTCACCCCATGCTGGCTCAGAATAAAAACCAGAAGATTAGTTATACTCTGCCTTTGTTCTGGACAGTTTTACTGCTGTGTTGCTTGCATCTGATTTTGAGTAGCAAAAGTTAATTAAAAACTATGAAATAACAATAAACTCTGTTGACCCCCGACAAAGGATGAAGTATAAAACAACTAGAGTAATTTAAACGGATACCCTGAAACCTTTCTGTCATTTGTTTATTTTACCCTTTGCCAGAGACGTGCTGTCAGCTCTGATGGGAGTTACGCCCTTTCCAAGCTGTGTTTCAGCGGGCGGTGAGGAAGCTGCTGCTGCCTCCTCCGCCGCTGCTGCTGCTGCTGCTGCTGCAGCGCAGACAGACATAGAGCGACGCAGCAAAGCACACTGCAGGCTGCTAGCTCACTGAGCGGCATGGCGGGGCTACACGACTTCCACCAAGGCAGCCACTGTCACAGGAAAACCTGGATTAAAATACTACTAGGAATACTTCAAATACTTCTACCACACGTCCAGCATGGAGGGGCTCAGCTGCAAGGTTTGTATTCAGGTTTATTTTCGGCCTTTTTCGGGGGTGGAACAATAACAACCGTTGCTGGGAGAGAAAAAAACTGAAGTTAGCTACCTGACTGCGGTTTGCTCAAATGTTAGCGAAGCTAAAATGTCCTACCACTAATGTAGTCCGTTCTTACAATTAAAGATAAATTGTGTTTTATGGCATTTCTATGCTGCTTAATTCTGTTTCATTCCTCAGCGTAGTATTAATTTCAAGTTCGTTAGCCTCTGAGCTAACAGCTAAAACATCAGCTAGCAAACAGCCTTTGTCAACTTCCCGAGCTGGACTCGTTTCCTGGCTGGTATGTTTGCTTGTCATTCACTCCAATTTCACATCTTTATCTCCAATAATTAAATTTAGCTTAAATTTATGACCTCAGAATCACCTCAACGCAATATTCTCGATAAACATTCAGTTCATGTTAGCATTATGCACGTTTAAGACATTTTATTCTACACCCTAGCAGTCAGATTCCATTCAGTTCAGTTTAACCTATTATAAACCAATACATTTAAGGTTGTTTTCACACCTGCAGCTTTAGGTAAATCTAAATTTAGATAAGAAGATAATATAGTTGCATTTATTAAATAAATATTAACTGTAAAGTCTTATCACATTTAAATAACACTGCACCATGTGCACGGTAAAGACATAATAGCTCGTTAATGTTTGCAAATATGCATGTATAGATGGAAGGATTGAGAATAGTTGGTGATTTTGTCCTTCTGCAGCCTGCAAAGAGATTTACATAGAGCATGAGGTATCCTAACAATCCAACTCTGAAAGGAGCATTTTGGTAGACAGAAACTGGGATTCTTGCTCTGCAGAAGAGGAGTTTAGCCCAAAGATCAAAATCCCATTCCACTTCTAAAATCTCTTAAAAGTCATAATCCAGGTTTTTTACACGTGTTTACAAAAGTCTGGATATTTCAGTTAAAGTGCAGTTAACTTGAAGTTATCAAGCAAATTTGTAATTTAATTTGTAGCAGATATGTTATAATTAAAATTCATATAAACTGTATCAGACTTGATGTTAAATTTTTTTTTTTTAAACCTGCGATAGCCAAATTATAGTGTAAGTTTCAAGTTAATGTCTGTTTTAAGACTGAAACAATTTGATTAATTGTGATTAATCGATTATTGAAATAATCATTAACTACTTTAGTAATCGATTCATCATCAACTGGAGTATAGAGACAGTTTCACCTGGTTTAATAAAAAAAAAAAAATCTTTAAAGGAACCTTTGGCTATCTGATTATTAAATGATTAATCGAAAAATAATCAACAGATTAATCGATTTGAATAACAATCGTTAGTTGCAGCCCTAGTGTGACTTGTTACTTGTTAATTTTTACATCTTATTTGTAAAAAGTCAAAGATACTGCAGGTAAAAAGATGAATGAGTGGAGCTCATTTGGTCAGAGCCATGGCAGTTTGGGAGTGTGTAACCAGCTTACATCAGCTGTTTTCCTAAATCTACTACAGACTTGTCAGATCATCTCTAAATCATAAAGTTTAAACTGCATCTTTTTAAACTCTCATTTATACTACCTTCTATTCTCTTTGTGTAAAGAGGTTTTAGTTTTAAATCATTTACAAAATCTTGTAAGGATTGCAGTCAAGTTTTACAATTATGACCATACCTTTATACAGGCTGATTACGCAATTGATTTGCTTTTATTTATGTTCATATATTTGCAGTTTTCCGGCGAGAACTCCTGAAAGAGACTGATAAAATGATTAAGATGTGATGTGGGAATTCAA